GCCAGGGTTAGGAGAGGGAGAAATGGAGATTGTTTTTTTTTTTTTTTAAATAATAAATTTTATTTTTATATTCCCCCATACAATTGCAAACGCCCCATTCTGACCCCAATCCTTCCCCTCCCGCCCCCCACCCCCCAAAAAGTGTCTCTGGTTCATAGTTTTTTGTTGATTTTGATTTTCACTTTCTTATAGTTATTCATTTTCCTGGTCCCTTATTTAAGTTTTCTAGATTCCTGCTATGAGTGAGACCATCCGGTATTTTTCTTTTTCATTTTGGCTTATTTCGCTGAGCATGATCCCTTCCAGCGCCATCCATGTTGCTGCAAATTGCATGTGTTTATCTTTTTTGAATGCTGAGTAATATTCCATGGTATATATGTACCACATGAGATTGGTTTTTTTAATGAGTGCAGAACTTCTGTTTGGGATGATGAAAAAGTTCTGGAGATGGACAGTGGTTGTGGTGACATAATATTGTGCATTACTTTGTGCCTCTAAATCGTATAATTAACAATGATTCAAGTGGCAAATTTTGTTACATAAATTTTACCACAATTGAAAAAAAAATACATTGAATTGATACTGAAGCAGTTCCTGTCCCATAGTGAGCAGGGAAAGGCCTCACTATACAAATTAAAGCTTCCAATGCAGTACAGACCTTTTCCCGGGTAAACAGCAGAGAAGACATAGCTTGCCCTCGGCTGGAATGACCACTGAGAGACAGAGGGGAAGTTATGAATACAAACTGATCGTGGCCACTTAGTGCATGTCTTCTTAGCCTACAGGGCTGAAACAAAAAGTGAGTACAAGGTTATTCTTGTACTTCTGTACCTCTGTGGAGATTGCATTCCCACACTGATTGTTGACTGGCAAACAAACCAACAAACAAAAAGAAAGGCTTCAGTGTTTTACAAAGAGAAAGGAATTTTTTTAAGCACCTGTTCTTTGAATACAAGCACACAGACTTTGCAGAGGTGTGTCTCAGCAATACAGTCAGGATTTTGAATAGTGTGGCTCTTTGACTTGAGTGCCTAAATAGTAGGATTTTTGAACGACTAGACTCCAGAATTTCTTAAAACTGAATGGCAGTGCAAGAGGTTCAGAGTTGGAGAGTTTGACTTTTCGCACCCCCTAATGATTTTCTTTATGCATCAGGAAAAACATTTAGGATTTGCCTTTGCCGTTTTAAAAAATCACCTCCAAATGCTGCAACTGAACATGTGGAAATGCCTTCTGAGCCAAATGACACCAGAGTGGCTCTGATACCATCAGCAACAGCCTCCCAAGTCGAGACCCTCCACCTTGAGCTTTCAGCGTGCTCCCACGGGTGCTCTGCTGAAAGTACCCTTTTCAAAGAATTCTCTTCATAATTTCTGGTCTGTTTTTGATCTGAAAAGTCAGAAGGATCCATCAAAGCTTGCCAACAACCTGTAATTCTGAGTTAAGATTTTCTAATTTAGAAAACATAAAGAGTGGGGGGAAACCAAGATAGGGAAGCTGACAGCTCAAGCAGCTATCCAGCCAGATATAGATTTCTTCATGAGTGATTTCAAGCACTTTTTCTTCTCTCACAGATATGAAAAAATATCACTGTTATTCACTTTTTAATTTGATTTTTACTTTCACTTAAGATATACAGGTTCATGGTTTAAAAGGTCACACTGTTCTATAGCGATTCTAACAAAAACAGCAATTTCCTATTTCTCATCTCCTCACCCCTAATCCCGTATTTCCAGAGGCAATCACTTTTAGCTGTTTTACCTCTTTCTTCTGATATCTCCCTATCTCTAATAATATACTCATAGTACTATTTTTTCCCCACTTTTGATATTCTATTAGCTTCCTGATATGGAGAAGAAGTGAGTCCACTTATACACACTCATTTCCTATGACCTGCATCTTCTCGTTATAGTTATGTCATGATTTTTGGTTTAAAAAGCAGACAATATGTACACAGTCTGACTGCACATGTGATTATATAATAATAGTGTTGCTACTCAGCACATAGTAATTACAGAGGTGTTGTGCCATATATTTTGATTACATTTCCTTTTGCACAACATATTTGTTTTTTCCATAGTTAATGATTTTATTTCTTCATTTGCTCAAATTTCTATGTCAATAATTTGTTCCCGAAGTCTTCCCCAGAGAATTGATTATTGCTTAAATTATTAAAATACATCAGCTTATCTGTTGGCTACAGTTTTTCTTGGGGAAAGCACTTCAAGAGTCTTCCTCTCCTGCCTCAATCTGGTTTAGATGTTCTCTAGGCCGGAAGCATAGTTCTTTTGTGGAGCTTTTTCCTTCTTTAACTTCCTTTGGCTCCCATTTGCCTGTTCCCTGCATCCCATGCCTTCTTTTTTATTGGTTTCTTCTTTTTTTTTTTTTAAAGATTTATTTCTTTATACAAGAACCGATGTACAGGCCAGATGCGTGGGAAGGTGAGAGGATTCACCAGAGACAGAGTGGGGAACAGAACAGCAGACTGACTGAATACACTGCTGAAGGGAGCAGTGGGCGCGACAGGAGAGGTCTTCTACGCCATGTGGGATTCTCGCTGGCCAGCCGGCGGGAATCGAACCCGCACTGCAGAGGCTGCGGACAGCTTCACAGTGTGGCGCTCAGCCACCTGTGCCACCAGGGAGGCCCTTTATTGGTTTCTTCTTTATTTTGGTGGAGCACGTCCTGTAATTACTTTCTTAGAAGAGTAGATGGAAAGTAAATTTTCTGAGACTTAACATAACTGTACTTGTCTTTATTCTACCCTCCTCTTAACAGTTTAACTAGAAAAGAAATTCTAGATTGGAAATTGTTTTTCTCCAAATTTGAAAGCTATGTTTCATTGTCTTCAAACCTCTAACAATGCAATGGAGAAATCTGATATTTGATTCTTAATCCTTTATAGGTGGCCTGTTGTGCACTCCCTAAAATTTTTTTAAAAACCTTAAACTCCTCTCTTTGTGAATAATGGTCTGAAGTTTTGTGATCTTATGTCTTGATATGATCCTTTTTATTAATTTTCCTGAACACTTTTGGGTATTTTCAGCTGACTACTAAGATCCTTCAGTTTGTGGGCATTTTCTTGAATTATTTCTTTGATCATTTCCTCCAGTCTATTTCTATGTTTCTTTCTAGATCTCTAATAAGTCAGAATTATACTATTGTTCTGATTCTCTATTTTTCATACTCTTTGACACCTCTTATCCATTCCAGTCTTTTGTTTCACTTTTTGTGAGATTTCCTCAACAGTATTTCCAGCTCTCCTTTTAATGTTTTACTTTTGCTATCACATCTTTATTTTCCAACTTTCTTTCTTTTCTTTTAGTTGGTCTTATTTTAGCTTTCTGTTTTATCTTTTCAAGTCTTAATACTCTCTGAAAATATTAATGATAGTTTTTTTCCTCTCACCTTTATTCTGTTCCTGACATTATCTCTTTTTCTTTCCTTTTGCCTGTTTGGTTGATTTAGTCTTTGGCATTAGATGCACCCTCATTGTGGGCTTCTAGGAAACAGAGGGGCTTCGAGGTATAGAGTGTCAGGGGAAGTTGTCTGCTTTTCAGTATGATGTTTTTCCTTTGTACGTCTGTCTCAGGATGCAATGCACTTCCTTTTGTTCAACTCCTAAGAGAATGACTGTCCAATCTATTTGCAGAGTATACAGGAAAGTCTTACTGATTTGGGTGGTGCAAGTGGGATCTAGAAAATCCAACTGCTTCTTATAAATACTCTCAACCTATCCTTCCAGCCACACTTGGCAACATCTCCCCAAACCTGGCTTTCAGAAGTATTTAGCATTACTAAGTCCTGGGCAGTTCCACATTAAGGGGAACTTCCCACTTTCAGCTCAACTTTAAGTTTTGTTGGGTTTGTTCTGTCAGTTACCACTCACCCATCTGCTCTCTGATTCCAAAATGCTCTTGTTGCATTCTCCATTATCTTTGTCTTAAAAAAAATCCTTTTATTATCATTTAAGGAGCCCAGAAAAGATGGCAGTAAATACGTATGTTCAATCTACCATTTTTAATTAAAAGTCCTGCCATTTTTAATTTTTAACTAATGTGTTCAAAATTATGTGTGATTTTGTGTGAATCTTAATTCCCTTTGTCAGTGGTTCTCAAAGGGTACTTATACAAACCAACAACTTTAGTATCAGCTGGGCATTTGCTAGAAATGTGAACACTTGGGCTGTACCAGGTATATGAATCAGTAACCCTGGGGGCAAAGTCCACAAATCTGTTTAAATAAGACCTCCATCTGGTTCAGAAGCCTGTGAGAGTTCAGGAACTACTGTTGTGGGTGAGTGAGGTATTGTAAACATGGGCGCAATACTACCCTACTTTTAACTTCAGCTCCAAATCCCTCTCTTCAAGTCAAAACCTACAACATACCCAGTAGAATAAAAGGGCTGCATTGAGTGACTCCTGTAACAGAATCCGTCTTCCTGAGAAAATGTTTGTGGATTTAGATGCTCTTTTCTTCCATGACAGATAGTTGATTCCTGCCTTACATGGCTCTTAAACTGGCATCACTGAGGTCAGATCCACCCACCAGCACAGCAGGCTGGTACTAGAAGACAAGACAGAAGTAGAGGAGTTTGGAGAGGAGGGATGTAGCAGAACTTCACCCCCTTCCACATCTTCAGCCAGTAACAGGTTGGGAGAAAGGCCTCCAACTCCCCTTCAGGGCAGGGAAGATCCTTGCCCACACGGAACAGGAAGATCCTTGTTCTGAACCGTGTTGTAGTTCTTTGGCTGACATTACCCTCTGCCTGCCTTCAGAAGAGCAGACACACCAGCCATCTCAGACACATGCATCCCTCCCCACCCACACTTCTGTATCACTCCTGTGAGTTCCTCTGTCTACCTTTGGCCTCCTTACTGTCTCCCCTTCTCCACTGTGCTGAGGTTGTCTGCACTTTTTCCTTTGGAACAACCACAGCAGTCCTCCTCTGTGCTCTCTCCATGGCATCATCAATACTCCTTTCCATCTTCCTCCCCCAGGTATGTCTTCACTGGCATTTACACCTTTGAAGCCCTGATAAAGATACTGGCAAGAGGATTTTGCCTGAATGAGTTCACTTACCTGCGAGATCCTTGGAATTGGCTGGATTTCAGTGTCATTACACTGGCGTAAGTATTTCTCCCCCTGTTGTGTCTGTATGTCCCCCTCGGGCTTGTGAGGATTGTGGATATGTCCAGGTTCACAGTCTGAAGTATTTCCTTAACTCAATGTAGCTTCCTCTTTTGGAACTGCATGATGTGGGGTCTTCTTGCCTTGGAGTGTTGCATTGGGAGTCACTTTCTAGGGTCAGCCCTACATCCTCAGGGAGAAATTGGAGACCCCAAGTCTGAGCTGATAACTGGTTTTCAAAGTGGATCAGACAAAGCTCAGCCTTGAACCTACCCAACGTGAAGGTCTTCCCTTGAGGAACCAACGTCTGAGGAGAATGGTTAGTCAAGCCTACATGTTTGAATATCTCTCCATCATGTGGCACACCAGGCCACCTTGATCATAATGCAAAGGGGCCATTCTGAAAGATACAATAATAATTACAGTAGCATTTGTGTCAGTTTATATGTAAAAGTGCTACTAAATTCAGTGTCTGTTCTGGGTCCTTCGTAGGCCCATGTTACTGAAAATTGTCCTTATTTGTGCTGCATGCATTGTCTGGGCCCTCTCCTTGCAGAGATGCTGATTAACTTCTTATTCTACAGATACGTTGGTGAAGCAAAAGATCTCCGAGGGATCTCAGGCCTGCGGACGTTCAGAGTTCTCAGAGCTTTAAAAACAGTTTCTGTGATCCCTGGTGAGCTGCTTTAACCAGCACATTTATTCTCAGAACACATGTGGGTTTCCATGACCTAATATCCTCCTTTGGATTTTTACATATAGAGCCCTATGAGGTTCCTGGGTAAGGATTCTTTTCTCCACTTAAGAGACAGAAACTAGGGACCAGAATGTAGAATATACAAGCTCAAAGCCTCATCACTAGTAAGAGGCAAAATATAACCTGGAAACCTAATATCTTACTTCCTGTGCCAGTGCTCTGCCCACAGTACCTCATGGTCATGCTGCTGATAAATACCAAGAAGATTATGTCCTCATTTTATGTTCTTGGTGTAGGGTTCAGGCAAGACTCCAGTTGGATTCTCATTTGTACCTTAAACTAAAGATATAAACTTGGAGATAGGGAAGAAGGAAGAAGATAGCCCCAGACTCTGGTGAGTGTCTTTCCCATTTCCAGAGATCTGGAAATTTGAGGCTCAGTCCTGTCTTTGGACTCCCAAAGTAGCAAAGAACCAGGCAATTCTTTGTTACAAAGGATTTAGGAACAAAACCAGCCCACCAGAGCTCATCTTACTGACCTCCAAGGTCTCTGTCATCGCCAGGAGACTGGTGAACTCCTCACTCCCCACTGGGTTGGTGGAGGAGCTGGTGAGGTCACCAGATAGCCCACTGAGACAAGACTCCACACTTTCCCCTTGTGATTTGACAGAGTATCTCCTCTCCCTCACTCCTGAGAGCCTGTTCCCTCATCAGGAAAATAGAGACACTCATGCAAGAGGGGAGCCTATTTATACCACTCTATGACTGGTTTTGTAGGGGAAAATTGGAAAGTCTTTGCCAACTGTCACTGGACAAACTTCTCCATGAGGATAGCCAATGCCATATGTAGTTGGTTCTACCACATGGTATCTCTCTCAACCACTCTTAGCCAGGAAGACCCTGGGTCTGCCCTGGTCTGTTCACATACCCTCTCCTGTCTCATTTCTCTCTTCTGTCCACCTCACATATTTGTGGCTCCACAAATATGGCATGCCTTTGCTCACCTCCCAGCCTTCAGCCATGCTGCTGCTTCTATCAGGAGAATCCTTCCTTCTCTCTACTCAGCTCACACTCTGTCCTCAGGGCTTGACCAGTGTTTGACACCTCAGAGAGACTCCTTGGTCTTCCCTAACTTCCCCACCATCCACACTACTCCATCCCCACCTCCAGACTCTGTGTGTCCGTCTATTCTATAGTGCTGTGGAGTTTCTCCTCAATTGTCAGACACTTCCCCACACACTCTTCATGCCTTAACCATCACTCAGTTCCTCATGCAGAGACTCACACACGTTGTGCACAGTGGTTCTCTGTTGGTTAAAAGGACAGGACAAATGTATACTCCAGACTGCTTCCCTGGCCAGGGTTCTTTCTGCTACCTGTGAAGCTGTGCTTCTAAAGAAGGTGATAACTTTTGGCAGAGTAACAAACCACCCCTCCTTAAACATGCAGGGACTCCATATCTGTTGCCAACTGTGATTGACTCTGAAATAGCTCTTTCTCAGATACTGTTTGTACCTCAGTGTCTCTCATGTTCTCACTGTATTGCTATGTTGCCTTCCCCTCCCCTTTACACACACACACACAGAGAGACTGAGGTTCCTGTGTCCCCAGTATTGAGTTACCTCCCAAAACTGAGGTGCATGCAGAAAAACAAATGCCAAGTGACTTGAGTGAGATTAGTCTCCTTATGCCTAGCAAGATATCTGGAATATAGTAGGTATCCAACCATTATTTTTCTAATAAAATTGCTATCATCAGGAATTTATTAGCCTTAAGATGATAAGAAATTCCTTGTTTGGGTCTTGATTGCCTCATATTTACAATAGGACAATCGTCTCTGCCTGCTGGCCTCCCAGGGTTATTACAAAGTTGAGATGAGGATCTGGCTTAAAACAGCCCTAAAGTTTATAGTAACTTCCCACCTGTATGTAGTAGGAGGGTATGACAGCTAAGAAGCAAGCATGGCAGGCACAGGCATGTGCTCTGAGTGTGGTGCCTTATCCATGTGGGAGCATCGCTGCTCTCTTCCCACAGGTCTGAAGGTCATCGTGGGGGCCCTGATCCACTCGGTGAGGAAGCTAGCCGACGTGACCATCCTCACTGTCTTCTGCCTGAGTGTGTTTGCCTTGGTGGGACTGCAGCTCTTCAAGGGCAACCTCAAGAACAAATGTGTCCGGAATTGCACGGCCCTAAACGAGACAGCCAATTTCTCTAATGAAACATTCGAGTGGAATTTCTGCCATAAGGACAAAGGTGGGTCAGCAAGGGGTATGAATCCCTGCATACCTGCACAGATATACATTTTTCATATCTCTCTTCTGTTGAAACACTTCTCCTGAGTTATGTTTTACTTTTGGTTCTATTTTCTGTTGTCAATATCTCTTTTATAAGGAAATAAGCTATAAATCTAGGGCAAGTCATTCCACCTTTGCTGGGGGTGGTTTACAGCTGTAGTCACTGCTCAGCTTTGCTCTTCCCAGATGGGACTTTTCCCCTTGCAAGTGTCCCAATGAGTCCATAGGGTGCATGTAGCCGAGGAAACTTGCTTTGCTCAAGTAGAGGATAAGGAAGTATTGCTCCACCTTGCAAGACTTGAATTAAAGGGTTCATAACTATATGTGCAGCTTTCATCTCTTCCTTTATTTTGCAGAATTCTACATAAAGCCAGGCACTACTGATCCCCTACTGTGTGGTAATGGATCTGATTCAGGGTGAGTGCCCAACCAATCACAGAGTCTAACAGTCCTTTCTTCTTCTTATCAGCATTTTCTGAACAGAGACAAGGTCACAGGTCCTGAGTAAGATCTAGAAATTAATAAATCATGGCTTCCACCATCTCAGAATTTATGAAGAGACCAGCTGATCTAGGATAGCCTCAACTAGGGTGACTTGTCTCTGCTCCATGTGGTGTCTCAGCCCCCAGAGGCTAGCTTGAGCTTGTTCTCATGACAGATGCATGAATCCTAGAGAAAAAGTAGAAGCATGCAACGTGTATTGAGGCCTAAGCTTAGAACTATCCCAATGTCACTTCTATTGCATTCTGTTGACTAAAGTAAGTCAGAGACCATTCCATATCCAAAGGGATGGGAAAATAGATTCTGCCCCTTGATGGGAGGAACGGAAACATCATATTGCACAGGATGTAGATACAGGGAAAAGATCAATTGTGGCCATTTTTGCAAGCAAACTATCCTAAAAATGAACTAATATTTATTAACTATGTTTTGAGTCAGATGATCTACATATAATCATTACAACTTCATCATGTGGGCCTCATTGTCCCCATAAGAGAAGAAGCAACATACATCAGACTTGCAATTTCAAGTTCTTAAAGAGGTCAGACACACCCACCAATGAGAAGAGTGTGTCATATAAAAGCCATGGCAATGAGGGTGGATGACCTATTTAAAAGCAGGAGGAACAGCTCTATCCAGCTTCCATTTGGCATGTGGAAATATGGATCCACTACTTCCAATTATTCCAAATTTTAAAAGAAGAGACAGAAAGTTTAGGTATTTCTTTGACATATCCCAACTATAAACATTGGCTACCAATTTCAGAAGCTGTCTATATATTGTGAGCCAAACAAATTAGCTTTCCAAGCATTCAGCCTGCAAGTAGCCAGTTTATGAACTCTGATGCATATACATAAAGGTGCTACATGCTGGAGAACCATTGCTGTGCTAGAGGCCCTATGAGCTACAGAAACACAGAGAGGTAATGAGGAAGGTTAAGGGAACTTTCCTGGATGTGGTAGTCGAGGTGAGCCTTGAAGGGCAGGCACGATGTCTCCAGGCTGGGTAAACAGGAGATGGTTTGGATGGAGATCATCCCAAGTTGGCAGCATAGAATGTAAGACAAAGAGCTTTGACCACTGGAGCAGATGTGAGCACAAAGAGTTCAAGTAACGGAACTCCCACCTCCATGGGAGGGGACATGGAAGATCTGATCTCTCATGGGCCCACACCCTGAGTGACTGAAAGTCCCATATTGTCCAAGTGGAGCTGTGTGGAACCCATATGGAATTTTGCCTTAAACAGCCCATTTGGAAAACCATCTCAGATAGACCTGAGGGTGGGGTCAAATGGGAGAATATGATCAACATAGGCTCATTGGTCTTTTTATTCACAAATGCACTTGCCATTTAGTTCTTTGACTCAGGGAAAGAGTTGTTCTGATGTCCATATTCACTGGCCTTTATCTTAAGTTTAAACAGAGGGACCTCCCTGCCAATGCCCATTTCCTGTCTGGATGATGGCATTTCTCAAGGTGCTGGCACCACAGCAGTCCAAGCACGTGCATAGTAAAGCTATGGCATCTGTTCATGAACCCCCCAGTTCCAAGAGAGGTCAGATCTTCTGCTTACAGGTCCTGGTCAGGGGGTGAAGGGGTGGATAGAGTTGGGATGGTAAAGAGAGGCCAGCTCAGGGCGATGGGCAGAGTAAGCCCGAAAGGAGCATGTTGTAAGCACTAAACCTGGGTCCTGCACTGGGCTGCAGAGAAGCCAGGCCCGAGTGGACCTCCACTCGGGCCTAAAAGAAAGTCTGGGTAAAGAGCAAGTACTAGGAAATATCTGATGATTTTCAGCATTCCTTCACATATTCTAAGCTGTCCTTTTGATAATGTCTCAGGTTAAAAACAAGAATTTCAATTTTCATTTTACATATTATATTTACTATGCTGAAGGCACAGTGCAAGAAGCTTTCCACCATGTTCTCATTAAATTTTCAGAGAGTTAACTGTTGATCTATTGAGCAGTTAGCTATTGAGTTATATGAGCTATGGTGGGGTTCTACAGATGACATAGAAATAAGTCTGCCCTTGGAATTAACTAGTTCCTTGGGAGACAAAATAAAGAGACAGTTTATTAATTTAATTTGATTTTAATTTTTGAATCTTTAAGGTGTGCTTTAATAAGACAGCTGGCAATATGGAAGATGGGGGTGGGGAATAACACCCTAAAGATACTGCCTCCGCATTTCATTTCCAGCTGACTTTTTATAGTGAATTGAACAGAGAGTTCAACAGTGAGCAGGGCTTCACGGCTGCCAGGAACTGCGATGTCCAGCTCCTGGAGCTCCTTACCGCCCTCCTGGACACCTGGCCTCACGTTCGTCCCCTGTGCTGAGGCTGGTCTTCAGACAGCACTGGCGCCCCTCATGCCTCCAGACGTGAAGAGACTGTGTTTAAATGCAGTTCAACAGTCTCTGAACCAAAATTGGGGGTAGAAATAGAATAGTTTATAATTAATTTGCAGGACTCCTAATCATTTGCATGGGTGCCAGGATTGTGTGTTTCCATTGATATCTGGAAAAAAGACAGACCAGAAGGTTGGGCTTGGAGGAAGAATCCTGGAGTAATAGAATCCCAGACTACCAACAAGGCATTACTGTTTCTTCAGCCAGTACATCCCACTGGCAAAGATAAAAGCATTTCACATACCCTGAGCTTAGAAATACTTTTTGATATCAATCTACCCCCTTCTTATGATAGAGAGGAGTCCAGCACTCTCCACACCAATACTCACAAAGTAGTCATCTTTGATTTGCCCTTCCTTCATAGATCAGTCTTCATAGGCTAATTGGCAATTATACTTCTCTTTTCAAATAAGTATGTTGCCATCTGTGTGGTTTTAAGACCTGACTTCTTCTCTCTGAACCCCAGCTTCCAAATCTATAAAAAAAATTGTTGAGAGGATTAAATTATAGCATTTGTAAAGCACTTAGAATGGGGGGGGGAGTAAGTGCTCAGTAAGTGGGAAGTGTTGTTTTCATTATTACATATAATTGGTCAGTGAACTTGGCTAATGTTGTCCTCCTTTGATAGACAACTCTGCAGGTGATGCCAACTGGCCAGGTTGAGGGTTTTAAGTCTGCATTATTGATACTGACTCTCCCTTTGCATGTGAACGTTCAAAGAGCTTGCCACCTTATAGGGTCATGTCTGGGCAGTCAGCTGGCCTTTTCTAGGCCACTACCTTCTGCATGAATCTCTGAAGTGTAAGTGTTATCATGCCCATTTTTTTTTTAAATAATAAATTTTATTTTTATATTCCCCATACAATTGCAGCCCCCCCCCCATTCTGACCCCAATCCCTCCCCTCCCGCCCCCGCCCCCCTAAAAGTGTCTCTGGTTCATAGTTTTTTGTTGATTTTGATTTTCACTTTCTTATAGTTATTCATTTTCCTGGTCCCTTATTTAAGTTTTCTAGATTCCTGCTATGAGTGAGACCATCCGGTATTTTTCTTTTTCTTTCTGACTTATTTCGCTGAGCATGATCCCTTCCAGCGCCATCCATGTTGCTGCAAATTGCATATCAGGCCCATTTTATGGACAAAAGAAACTGAGTCCTAAAGAGACAAAGGGCCCAGTCAGCCAGCTGATAAACAGTGGGCCAGGCCTTGAACTCCAATCTCTGATTTTGAATCCTGTGGACTGTTTTGCCCCAAAAAGGAAGGGGCTATGCAATGGATGACCTTCTTTGTTCTTGCTGCAGCCACTGCCCTAAAGGTTATTTCTGCTTGAAAACATTTGACAACCCGGATTTTAACTACACCAGCTTTGATTCCTTCTCTTGGGCTTTCCTCTCACTGTTCCGCCTCATGACACAGGATTCCTGGGAACGCCTCTACCAGCAGGTATCCATCTGCATGTCCCCATACCAACTTGGATGGAGGCTGGTGGGTCAGCTGCATAACTACATTTTCCTGGCAGGATTCTGACATCAGAGGCCCATGTGCCCTAGGTACATGCCTCCCTTCTTTCTCTTGAATCTGCAGACCCTGAGGGCTTCTGGAAAAATCTATATGGTCTTTTTCGTGCTTGTCATCTTCCTGGGATCTTTCTACCTGGTCAATTTGATCTTGGCTGTGGTCACCATGGCATATGAAGAACAGAACCAGGCAACCATTAACGAAATTGAAGCAAAGGAGAAGAAGTTCCAAGAAGCCCTTGAGATGCTCCAGAAGGAGCAGGAGGTCTGTGAGCAGTGGAAGCTTTGTGAAGTCATTGCAGGCTATATTTGGTCTGCACCAGCCACATAGATTAAACCTGTCATTCTAGGGAACAATGGGAAGATTCATCTGAGGTCAGGTTTTCTCAAAAAAGAACCTGAGTGAAGATTTGCGCAAGTGACTTATGGAGGGAGAGGGAGAATAAACAGGCAGGAGAAGGAGAATGAAGGAAACAGGATGGAATAGGGTAGATTTAATTAAGAAAATGGCCCAAGCCAGAGACTACCTTGATTTTGATCTCATGGGGAGCTCAGAGTTAGCCCCACCTTGAGGCAAGAGGATTGGGTATTTGCACCTCCATTTCTGCCCCAACCAAATGTATAGTCAAAGGTAATTCTCTGCAGAATTCTGCAGCTGTGAGCCATTAGCAGGTAACACTCAAACAGCTGGAGTTGAGTATTCTGACCTGGTAGGGGAATCTGGGCAGACCACCAGCAGAGTGTGATGAAGGTGTGAATGAGGGAGGTGACCACAGGTGGCTCTTCTGATAGCTCTCAGTCCCACAACCACCCAGGTTATAATCCTGATCTCCTCTGTTTCAGATGCCCTTGTCTCTGTGACAGCCCACGTCTGGGGGATGCAGTTATGCTAAGCTCAACCAGATACTGTTGGCTACAGCTGCTGTTCTCTCTCTTCAGATGCTGGAAGCACTGGGGATTGATACAGCTTCTCTCCACTCCCACAATGGGTCACCTCCAGTCTTTAAAACTGCCAGTGAGAGAAGGCACAAGATGAAGCCAAAGGTGTCAGAGGGCTCCACAGATGACAACAAATCACCCCAGTCTGAGCCTTATAATCAGCGCAGGATGGTAAGGGCTCAGGTTTGTGTGCTAAAGATTACCCACCCTTGCAGTTTGCCATGGACAACAGGTTGAAGTTGGACAGGTTGTAGCAGGGAGATTAGGAGGCACAGAGTAGGAAGATGTTTTAGTAACCCAGAGATGGCGTAAACTAGTACAGGAGTATTATGGATGTGAAGAAGGGGTAGATTATAAAGACTTTTGTGAGGTGGGGTTGGGGTAGACATGAAGCTGGGAATGTGGAATGTGGAAAAGGAGAGAGGCAATCCATGTGGCTCCCTGGTTTCAGGATTGGCAATCAGATGTGTGCACTAATTCTAAGACAGGGGCACTAGAGCAAGAACCCAGGTTTGAGGGAAGAGAGTGAGCCCATATTGGACATTCTGACCCTTGAGGAGTCTGTGAACATGAAGGATCAACTTCCTTCGGACACACTGATAAGCAATTCTGGAAGGCAGTTATTTCTCTGTCCGTGCTGCTGAAGTCATTTACACCCTCTTTTTTGATCTCATGCCTCAAGCGCCGTGGTTCAAACTCTCACCTGTTGGCACAGAAAATCCTAGCACCCATCTTTGGCATAATGTGGCCTACGAATGGCTTCAGTGCCTCACTTCAGATCCTGAAGCAAATTTTGCTCTCATCAAAACCTTCTACCTCTGACTCCAAGATCCCCTGTACTCACCAAGTTTCCTCCCCGTACCTCCCTTGCCCTTGAAAGTCCTATGTACACCAAATGTGTCTTTCACAGGCCTGAGAGATAGTAGCTCCTTTGTGAGAGAGTAGTTTAGACACTAGTAATATGGAAAAGGACATCAACATGGCTATTTTTCAGGCCTCCTGTTTCTCACTTCCCCTTTCTTGTGCTCATGTGAAGGATGATCTACTTTTTGGAATACCATCTCTACAACCCCCAAACTTAAGTTTACACACACACACACACACACACACACAGAGAGAGAGAGAGAGAGAGAGAGGCTCACATGTACACCAGCTCAGTGACATCTACGCTTCACCATTTGTCACCATCTGTGCTCTTCCCTCCCTTGCTCTGCCTTTTAGGCAGCACCTGGCACGCAGAGGGCACAGTTCAGAAGATGTCTCAAAGAGGGGTTCATCAAGGCTCTGACAGTCATTGAACAGGATGAATCACAGCTTCCATGAAAATGTCAGTGACACTCTGCATCAGACTTTAATTTTGCCAATTCTGTCAGTCCCACATAAATCAACACCTGGATGTCCAATAATTGTTTGGTGTGTGTGTGTGTGTGTGCACATGCTTGTTTCTCCAGCTGAACCTATTTTCAGAGGGAAACGGAGGAACTATATCTTGTTAATTCAACAATACTAGGTGCTGAAATAAAACAATGACTGAAATATAGTCCAGGACTTCCACTGGGACTGAGGAGGCAGATATAAAACATCTATATGTTACATATTATGTTAGGAGACATGTGTGGTATTTAGGCAATAAAAGAGGAAATATCCACTAATAGGAGCTTCGGGTGTATAGGAAAGCTTCCACAAAGGAAGGGATAATTGGAGTAATAAATAGTGAGTGTGTGTTCCTCTGGTAATTGAGGATGTGAAGGATTTGGGGAGCAGTACATCCAGGCAGAAAAAAAAAAACATGTACATGCAAAGACAGGGAGGCACCATTTGTGTAATTCTTTAATACTAACTGATTGACTGGAATCTGTTTAAGAAGGTATCCCCCTCTTTTCCTGGGTATGTTTGCATGGTAAATAGGCCACAGACAGCCTTTTCATAAAAACTGTTTTCAGACCAAGAGCAATGAGACCCAGGTTGGTGGTAGCATCTAGGGGAGCTAAGACAGCAGGTGTCCTGGGGATACACAGGAGACCAATTAGTTTGCTTGAATGATGCAAGCCTAATTCTTAGATTCAGAGACCACTGCCCACCATTTGTCAAATAGGTCAATTCTGAAATATTAGCTGGTGGCCAGAAGAGGCAATGCCTATTTGCTAGTGCCCAAAGTGCAAATGACTCAGTCATCCCTTTTTTTAAACAAAAAATTGCCAATTCTGTTTCTTTGGTTCAAAAATGGGAAGGTTTGAGTTCCTAGTCCTTGGATATATGTTCTAGGTAGAATGCTCTGTTAATAACACCAAAATTGCAGGGCTTCCCTGGTGGCACAGGAGTTAAAGACACAGTGCAGTCGGGCGATCACAAGCCACTGCAGCACGAGTTTGATCCCTGGCTGGCCAGGGAGTAAACCACATGGTGCAGCAGACCTCTCCTGTTTCTCCTGCTGCTCCACTCAGCAGTGTATTTCAGTGGATCTGCTTGTATTGCTCCCCACTCTGTCTCTGGTGAATCTTCTCACTTCCCTCACCTCTGATCTACACCCCAATTCTTTGTATGCATAAATAAATAAATCTTTTAAAAAAAACACCAAAATTGCATTGATGGTTACTAAACAGAGTTGTGCTCAAAATTATCAAGAAAGAAAACCAGGGGGGTATGTTAGAAAGACTGTAATTGATAAGATGTCAAAAGGTCTTAAGGAAAGAGGGAAAAAATCAGGAGTATGAGCAGAGTCAATGATTATATTTTATAAATACATTCTTTGTATGATCCGAGGACAGAATTGATAACCTTTTAGGGTTAGATTCCCACGGTGCGCAGAGGAACTAGCTGACCTAGGGTAGTAACTCTCGAAGGTCTCTGAACTTATGATTTAGCTCCTTTCCTCTGGCAACTGTAAGCCACATGGTTCCCTTAGAAGGAGATTTTGATGGGAAATGTTTATTGATTTGGAAGAACGGCATTTTTCTTCCAGGAAATTAGGCTGCAACTCCCCCTTCAGTCTCCTCATTGTTGACGATTCAAGGTTTTTCTCAAGGGAACCTCGAAGCTCATTACATTATAAAGCTCTTGTTTCCTCCTTTGCAACACTAACTCTCACATCCATGTAGGTTAGATCTAATGAATTGTAGAGCTTAATTTTTAGACAATAAAGTGCACGTGTTCCAGTACGGGTGTGTGTAATAGGTTCTTAGGGCACAACTTTGCATGTGGAGCAAGAAACTTAAGATGACTCTATTGGACCCTATGGCCAGAGATTAGCAACCACCTAACATGTTCCGGTGACAAGATTGTCCTCTGGCCTGTCCTTGGCCATGACGACCTCTTTGCTGATCTTAAGGGTCCTTCAATTTCTCAGATGTCTTAGCCTTTTCTCAGACTCTGACAAGAATAAGTTTTTTCCTTTCTTCTCTCCCCATGTATACCTAGAATAATACTAACTTAGATTAGTATTTTGAAATTGTTCCTGGGAGGTCAAGAGAATGAGGGCAGGGAAATGGGAGTAGGTGGAAGGAACTTTGAGCCTCAGATTTACCTGCAGGATGTGCTTTCAACCTCCTTCTTTCCTGCTCCCCTGTGGCAATGCCCAGTCTTTCCTAGGCCTTACCTCTGGCAGACGGCGGGCTAGCCATGGCAGCGTGTTCCTTTTCCGGGCCCCTGGCCGAGATGTCTCCTTCCCTGATGGGGTCACAGATGATGGAGTTGGTCCTGGAGACCATGAAAACCATCGGAGCTCCCTGCTGCTGGGTGGAGGTGCTGGCCAGCAAGGGCCCCTCCCTAGGAGTCCACTGCTTCAACCCCCCAACCCTGGCTTAGGATATGGAGAAAATGGACACCCCGCATTGCCAACTAGTGAGCTTGGCTCTGGAGCCATCGAAGTGTCGGTGAGTTTGTCAATATTCCAGACTTAGGTTGCCCACCTGGAGGCTTTGAGCCAAGACGCCCTAAGGGTCACCCATGGAAGGATCATTTGGACATTACTGTCAAGCACTCCCACCCTACCCTCACATTGCAGAGTCTCTAGTGAGCCCTGATCACACCGTCAGGTCAAACCAGGTCTCCAGTGATCCCCTAATTCTGTGTCTTGGTGCTGTGCCTGAGTTCTTACCCCAAATTCAAGCAGCAGCTCCATTTCTCCAAACACCACTGGATGCCTGATTCACTGGGGGCTGCCAGCCACCGGGGACTGGCCAACACGCTGCTGAGTGAGCTTCATTTGCCCCTGAAGACTTCAGGTGCCGGTGCCCTGACTCTGTTTGTGTCCCAGCAGCCGTTTGACGCAGGACAGAAGAGGACTTTCTTATCAGCAGAATACTTGAATGAGCCTTTCCGAATCAGACGGGCGATGAGTGTGGTCAGCATCATGACCTCCGTCCTCGAGGGTAAGTGCTGCTCAGGGGACGTCAGTCTTGTGTGTCATGAGAGTTCCCAGGTGAGCTGCAAAGGGGATGCCCTAAGCCTGTGTCAAAGGACACCTACCCCTGTGTCCTGGGACCCCAAGTGCTCCTCTTTTTTGTGCCCTGGGTTCCATAACTCTATCAATGTGGGTTTTTATGTGAGTAATTTTTCAAAAAGCAAAGACTCCCTTAAGTGAAATGCCTTAGTTCCTCTCCTGTTCAAATTTACATCTGCTCCCAATATACTCACCAGATTTAAAAGGGATTTCTTGCAGGCACCAGAGAATTTCAAGCTACCTCTCGGGTATGTAAGAACAGTAGCAGTCTTTAATTTTCTAACAATGCAAAATTATCCTAATGTTTTTCCTGACTGTAACTTTTACAGTTAAAACTTAATTTCTGTCTCAAGCCCCCATTATGCTGATCTTCGGAAGACAATTTAAGGAAATGAATCAGACAATTTAACTAAATCATTGTTAACTCTGGGTTCCATCAATCAACTGGGAACCCACTCAGCCCCAGGCATGGTCTAACTTCCAGCTGCTTACACCAAGCCAAGGCGTGGAAGAGAGAGGGCACTGTGTCACGGCCATGGATGCCCAGTGAGCATGGCTGTTTCATCCTCCCCCGGCCAGCCTATCTCCTTATTCAACCCTTATTTTGCTTTAAGTTATGGAAAACATTCCTATCTGACCATTTATCATCCCTAGACAAATTTAAAATGTCCTGGGGTGGAGGGAAGAGAAAGGAGCTGAGATTCTGCTGTGTTCCTGAGAAGGGGCCCCACATGCTCGCCTCCCACCCGGGGTTGGAGTCTAGCGCTGGGGAGGGCATAGTGGGTGATAGAAACTAAGAAAAAATGTTTGAGAGACTTGAAAACATAGTCAAAATGTGTCTTACTCTCTAGATAAAGTAAGTGGCAAGCCCTTAGAGAGGTGGCAGGCTCTTAGAGAGAGACCCACATACCCCGGATGGCACAGAAACTTCAGGGTAGACCTGGCTGGCAATGTACCTGACTTGAGGCAACCTCAGAGTGACCCGCAGCCCCAGCAGGACAGGATGTAGCTGCATGAACACTTAGTCCCCACGGGCTACTGAAGGATATCAATGACAGTCCAAGAGGGAACAGTCTTCAAAGATTTTCCCATTGGAGACCAGGCAGGAACCAGGATGGCTCAAGGAGAGTACACTTGGCTGTGACTAAGGAGAAGCTCAGCCGTCTCTGTCAACCATGAGCCCCCTCCCCGAAGAACTCAAACACAATGAGGTCTACCACCCATGCAGTCACAGACACTGAATTAACCAAGACAAAGTTCCACTCTGGGGATTTAAAGTATAAATAGAATTCAGTTATGGTGGGGAAACCCCCTTCTGTTACATTTCTTGAATACCTGAGTTTGTGTTTTGAGAAATGTTTATTACATTCCAGTAATAATGGTGTGTGCAGACTCTCATATCATTTTCCCTCATTGATAATAATTTACCTATCACTGTTCATTGGAACAATGCTTAACTGCATTGAATTTTTCCCTGTTGCTATGTCTATGATTTTTTTTGTTGGCTAGGTGGTTGCTTGGAAATTTTTCTCTTTTTCTTTTTTGCTGTTAGCCATCAAGCAATATAAATGTTCCATAGAGATAGCTTACTCTTTTATTTATTCCCCAGAATGATCAGCTTCTTCCTTCCCTCTTTTTTCATTTATTCACCCATCAACACACATTTGTTGAACAGCTGCTGTATGTCTGGCATTGCTCCAGATGCTGGGTACTCAGAGATCAACATGATAGAAGTCTATGTTCCTGGAATCTGCATCCTGGAGGCTGGCGTGTACAGATGCTAAACACAAATAGATATTGAGATAGTGATGAAGAGTAGGAGAAAAGATAAAGTAAGGAAGGAGATGCAGAACAGGGGCTTGCAGAAAGGGTTGCTTTAGATGCGGTGATAGTGGAAGGCCATTTGCTTTAAGGGAATCAGTAATAGTAATGAAATAAGAGAATCAACCTTGTGAGCCTTGAGAGAGTTCCAGACAGAGGAATAGCAAATGCAATGCACATTGAAGGACTGAGAAAGAATGAATAAGTTGTATGTCCTAAACATACCCCAATTTAGGCAAGAACAAAGGTGGTCTCGGGGTAAATGAAGACAACCAAAGGTTGTGATTAAGAACACAGACCCCAAGCCCAACAGCCTGGCCTTGCATCTCGGTTCTGCCATCTGTGATATGCTGTGCAACCCTGGACCTCCTTAACTACTCTGTTTTTTCAACTTAACTGTCTCTGTTTTTTCAAATGTGAAACAGTGAAGATACACTTGTAATACTTTCTGAGGATTAATTGAGTTAGGATAAGCATGCCTAGCGTGTGGTTGTAAATTCCCATAAGGGCAGAGATGTATCTCTTTTGCTCACAGCCAGATGTCCACTCCCTAGAAAAGCAATGAATGGCACATAGCAAGCACTCAATAAAATAGTAGTTGAATTAATAGTGAATGAAGGTGATATACAAGGCTGATATTTGGGGAATGGTACTAATTTATAATGACCTGAACTATGATCAGGGAGAGAATAAGGAATGGTCAGTTATCCTGATGTAGGACAGACTTCCCCCCAAGAAAGATGTTGTCAAAATAGATGGAAAGGAAGAAGAAACAATGACATTTTTAAGAAACTCTGGGTAAAGATGACCTAAAGTTAGGTCAGAGAAGTCAAAGTTTTTTGAGCAGAAGACTGTATGACCTATGACCTTCTCTGGTTGGTTTTCTTAAATGGTGGTTTTGAGGATATTTTCATGCTGATGGGGATGTGGGAGACTGAATATAAAGGAAAGAGAAGAAATCCTCAGCAGATTGCTGATGTGGCAGGAAAAGATGCACAAGTGAAGAAATTCGCCTTTAATAGGTGTAGGGACACCTCTTTAATTGTAACAGGAGGAAAGTCCTTTCTGGGTTAGCTTTTTGCAGGAAAGTCTTCTGGGAAGGAAGCATGCTTGTGATTGTGCTGCAAGTCAGCAAGTGCCTGATTCTTTCAGCATCCACATCTCCCCGGGGAATCAAGATCAGCTTTGGTAAAGTTGTTTAGAAGCTTGGGTCTCTTTTCCTGTCCTGCCTCTCAAACAGGCTGTTTCCTGCCATAATGGTGTATCTGCAATTTCCTCATTCAAAACTACTTCCTGTCCTTCTGTTTAGGGCCAAATTGGGTCTAGGAAAACTCCTATTTTTGTTCCAACTAAAGATCATTGATTTTTACCCCCCAGGATGTGCTGAGTATTTAGAGAAGTGTACTTTGCCAGTTTCTGTGGTTGAAGCGTCCCTTCAGAGCGTCCTGCTGCACTCTGACCTGTGCTACCTGTGACAGCCTTTGCACATAACTTATGATTTGAGTTTACAGACATCTCCCAGTTTGATCAAAACAGCATGTATGTCTATTTCTTGGTCTCCTTGTGTCTTTTGCTTGTTTCTGGGAGTAAAAGGGACAGGAAAAACAAAAAGGGCTTTTGTTTTTCCTCTGGAAAGGCCTGTCATTTTCTTTTTTAGCTGTATTGGGGTATAATTGACAAAATATGTAAGATATTTAAAATGTACATTGTGATTTAATATACACATAATTGTGAAAGGATTCCCCCATCTAATTCATCACACATACATTATCTCACATATTTACTTTTTCCCATTTTTCTCTTTTTCCATTCTTTTGAGTGAGAATACAAGTTCTACTCTCTTAACAAATTTAAAATACAGTAAAGTCACTGTGTTACACATTAGATCTTCAGATCTTATTCATCTTATAACTGAAAGATTTTACCAAGCTCTTCCTATTTCCCTTACCCTACTTTTCTGTTTTCTGTTTCTATGAGTTTGCCTTTTTTTTTTTTTTTTTTCAGATTTCATTTATAAGGGATACCATGCCTTATTGGTATTTGTCTTTCTTTGTCTGTCCTATTTCACTTAGCATAATGCTCTCAAGGTTGAGGGTAAATTGCAGGGTTTCCTTTCTCATGATTGTATAATATTCTCATCTTTAGTTATCCATCCATTCATGGATGGACATTTAAGGTGTTTCTATGACTGTACCATTGTGAATATTGCTGCAATGAACATGGGAATTCAAATCTCTCTTTGATATCCTAAGTATTTTATTCTTTCTTGGATATAAACGGCAATTATAAATGGGATTATTGTCTTTATTTCTCTTTTCTATAATGAATTATTTGTCTAAAAAATGCAACACATTTTTGCATATTGATTGTATCCTACCACTTATAAACTAATTTATTTGAAAACATATATACAGTAAAAATAATTCAAACATGCAGTGAAAACTGTCTTCCTCCCTCCCAGCTCCCCAGCCTCCTGATGAAGCCCCCCACCCAGTGTCTCTTGTATCCTTCACACAATATTCTATGTATCTATAAGTACACACATACATACACAGTTTACACACATATATATAGAGTCTTTTTTACCTCCACAAATAACTGTCTCACCATTTTTCATAATGTACTTTACCAGCTTTTTCTTTTTTTAATATTGTTATAATAAACCATGGACACTTTTTTCTCTGCATATGGACTGGCATATCCCCAATGTATATCTTTCTGGCAGTGGAATTAACAGATATACCTGAAGCTATATGGCTACCCCTCATGGAGGCGGCCCTCGCCGCACATTCAAGTGGAGATTTAATGGGAGCAGTTAGAGAGATGAGCCTGGTATTTAGGAAGAATTTAGAAACTGGACATATAATTTGGAGGTAGATATAATTTAGACACAGTTGGCATAGAGATGGTTTTGAAGGCTACAGGGTTCAGTAAGGTTACCTTGAGAAAAGGAAAAAGGGAGAGATCAATGATCTCTTGAGAGATCAATGATCTCTAGCAATCCATCATCTCTACCTCCAGCAGGTAGAGACAGGAAAGGAAGAGGGAGGCAGGGGCAGAAACTATGAAGCAGTCCCTAAAGTGGGAGAAAACCAAGAGACTGGAAACCTGGAAACCTGGAAGCCAGATGGTCAGAGAGTTTCAAGAGGAAATAATTATGAATTCTATCCAATGCTGTGAGGGGAGTAAGGTAAGGACAGGAAACCAATGTCTTGAATTTGGAAAGGGTAAAAGCCTGATTCTAGGGATGAGGAGGGAAGTTAAATGTGGAGAAGGTTAGGTCTAGAAATCTGTTTCCAAAACTTTTGCTGTTAAGGGGACAGTAGACAAAGGAGAACATGGGGTCCAGGGAGACCTTTTTCAAAGTGGAGATGTTTACATGCTGATGGCAATGGTCCAAAGGAAGAGCAGGGGATGGCACCGACCTTGAGTGGATATAAAGGAAAGTCCCAACACAAGTGGGGGGAGTAGAGTGAGCTCACACCCAGTGCCAGTGCTGGGCTCAAGGCAGGACAGGGTGGGTGGATTTGCAGATTCCCTGGAAACTTAATAGGAAGAGAGGAAGTTATTTTGTGAGTGATTCTATACTCTGAGGAAAATCAAAGGAAGCTTCTCAGTAGTGAGGAGTGGAGAGAGGGTTTTGGAACTTGGAAGAAAGGAGGAAATGAGAAATAGTCTAGAAGAATAAAAGTGTGGACTGACTGAGAAATGTGTTAGGATTTCTAAGCAGTGATAAGTTAAAACACACAAATCCCCAATACTATGGCTGTGTATTTCTTTCCAACCAGGTTCAACTGGTTGGGTGTGGGTGCAGAAAAGTCTGCAAGTTGAGTTTGTTTGGGATTGAGGTTTTGCCAGGCAAGTACAAAATGGGGGGTGTGAAGGGAAAGGAAGTGAGGGTGTCTGCAAGTTAGTAGATAGACTAGAGGGGTGGACATGAAGTCTAAACGAAGCAGGTGGGACATGAGGATGTAGCATAGGTGATAGGCAGTGAAAAGGTGTAGGGTCCATGGTTTGGAGGACTGAATGGAGATAGAGATTGAATGGAAGTTGCTGGACTAAAGGAGCTCAAAAAAGTAGGAAATGGATAGCAGAGAGAGGGAGGTCATCATTATTAGTAATGACCAGGTCTAGGGGAAGAACCCACGATGAGGTTCTGAGGTGACACATGGCTGAAACTGACACTGACCACATCTGTGATACAGAACTCGAGGAGTCTGAAAGGAGGTGCCCTCCCTGCTTGACCAGCTTGGCTCAGAAGTATCTGATCTGGGAGTGCAGCCCCACTTGGATGAAGCTCAAGAACGTTTTCTTTGGGATTGTGACAGACCCCTTTGCAGAGCTCACCATCACTTTGTGCATCGTGGTGAACACACTCTTCATGGCTATGGAACACCATGGAATGAGCTGCACCTTCGATACCATGCTTCAGACAGGCAACATTGTAAGTGCACTGGCGGCCACTGCCCGTGCTGCCGTGGCTGGCAGGGGGCGGGTAGGTGGGTGGCAGCACGCCCACATTCTTTGGAGTGTTGATCTAGCTGGCTGAATACTCTGGTGTGGACACAGAGTGAAAGACGGAGAACTGGAGGGAATTGCATTTAGCATCAACAACCACATGAAAGTGGACCAAGATAGTCCCGATCTAGAAGGAAGCTAGCTCCCCCTTTGCAGATGTTAAGACAGCACTTTGAATTTTCTGACTCTCAGCTGCCTCTACTTTGAAATGAGTATAACTATTGCTTTCCCCTCTAAAGTGTGGGCTTGCAATATTCTTTCTAGTTTTATTGCTTCTACAACTGCAAAAAACAGTGATTATGGTTTTTCAGTGTTATCATTTAAGGACAGAAAGAGTTGGGGAGGAATGAGATGTTAGTGAAAGGGAAGGCCATGGCGACATGTTTACTGTTATAACAAAAGCACCAGGGAGTCAGAACTTCTGTGTCTGGTTTAGACATGATGTTACTTGAAAATTTCCTCCATAATTTTTTAGTATTATTTGCTTTTAATAAGATAAGATCCGTACTGGATTTCTCTACTTGCTGAGTAATGTGACACAGTGAGAGAGAGTCATTGTTTGGTGCCTACAATGAGATGGGTACTTTGTAAATCTCACTCAGCACCACAAAAATCCTATGAGGTTACCATGACCCTTATATCCCAGGAGAGCACAAAGACTCAGAGAAGTTGGGTCTCCTGCCAGAAATGGCACAGCTGGTAAAGGTGGAGCCAAAGTTGACCCAAGTTGCTCTAGGACACGGGGGGACCTCAACCCATTCCCCACCACAGCACACTGACTCACCCACAGAGGACACTCAGTAGGCACTCTTTGAATTCTACCCTTGCAGTCTGGTGGCATTAGGGAAGTTGCTGATCCTCTAAGTCTGCTTCCTTTTCTGTGAAAGAAATTACCTGCTTCCCAGGCTAGGGAGAAGCATTGGTGAGTGCCAGTGAGAGCAAAGCACCTGACATGGTCGTTGCTTTCTTCCTTATCTGTCTCCTGGTGTTTGTTGCGTGACTCCAGCCTGCTCTTGGCCTCTCTCAAAGTCAAAATTCTGAACTGCTTAAGACAATTAAGGACACTGAGAGCTGCAGAGAATCTTAGAGACAATGTATTGCTAATAGCTTCTTGCTAATAGTTATTATTTATTCATGAGTTACTATCTGCCAGAACCTTTGCTAAGACATGCACATGCATTATCTCATTTTTATGCCCATTATACAGATGAGGAAGCTGAGGTATGGAGAGAATGCATTGTTGGTCACGCTTTCATACTCACTAGGGAATGCCTGAGCTGGGATTTTTATCTGGGTCAGTATTGCCCCACAACCCATGCTTTTAAACTAATGAACCAGATTGACTTCTCATTTACATAATTATATAACAATAATTATCCTAATGACTTTCCGCTTTTAAAAATCATCATTCATATGGAAAAACTGAAGCATGAGTTCTAATGCCTATTCTCTAAGCACTGGTCAGAACTCTCTCTCTGCTGCCACTTTGAGTATTCCCATTCCCAATCCTTCAAGAGCATATAAAAATATAGAAAATGAGTATAAAGAAGATAAAAGGATCTGCTGTTTTACAAACAAGACATTTTCCTGCTCTCTAATTTGATACTGCACCTGACCCCACAGACCCTGCTGAGGTGAACTCTTGTTTCCATCCACAGGTCTTTACTGTGTTTTTTACTGCTGAAATGGTTTTCAAAATCATTGCCTTCGACCCCTACTATTACTTCCAGAAGAAGTGGAATATCTTTGACTGCATCATCGTCACTGTGAGCCTGGTGGAGCTGGGGATGTCCAGGAAGGGCACGTCCAGCCTCTCAGTGCTGCGGACCTTCCGCTTGGTAAGGTTTTCTCTAGACGATTTGGGGAACCCCCACACTTAGGGATGCTTACCCCTGAGGACACTGTCCTTTGGGGGCACCACCAGCCAGATCGCCCTTCCTCTCTGGACCCTGCAGCAGTGAGGTAGAACCTGGTTCCTGGGAGTTTGAAGAGTTGGTTCTTCCTGCTTCCTCAAAGGAGGGCTGTGTCTTCATCTGCACCAAGAGGGGTCTTCCCAGAATCTGCCTGTTCTGTTATCAAACGATAACCATGATCATAGCAGCTATTGCTTCTTGAGCTCACACATAACAGAATGGCTCCTGGCCCAGGGACTTTGCCTACATCTTCCTTCTGCCTGTAACGCTTTCCCCTTATTTTTTTATTGAACTCATTCATTTTCATCTTTGCAGGCTCAGCTCACAAGTCACCTGCCCAGATAGGTCCTCCCAACCACATGTCCCTCATCGAATCAACCTGTTTTTCATACTTTGTAATTTCTCTGATATTCCATGAGGAAAAGAAAAAGGATCTTCTTTTCCACCATTTCATCCTAGGAGCCTAGCCAAGGCCCAGCACATAGGGGAACTTTATAAATATTGTTGATGGATGGAAAGGGCACAGAATGAAGGGAGAGAGGGAGAGAGAAGGGAATCTTCTGGGTCTTCATTCTTGCTTCTTCCTCTCTGTCTAAGTAAAATCACATTTCTTCCCATCGTTTCAAGTCTTGCTCCATTAGTCCATTGGGTCTGTCCCCACGCCTATGACTATGTCTGTGTCTTACTTCAAACGTATCTTGGCCCCTACACTTATTCCATGGATTGGAAGAATTAACATTATTAAAATGGCCATCCTCCCAAAAGCAATATACAGATTCAATGCTATTCCAATAAAAATCTTAATGACATTCTTCAAAGAAATAGAACAAATACTGATGTAATTCATACGGAACCACAAAAAACCTTATTCATTTAGAATGAATTTGCCAGATCCATACAAACACACACATCCAATTGTTTTTGGTTTTTTTTTTTCTTTTTTCTCTTGGAACTGGAATAATCTAAGGAACAACTTGGGAACGAATGTAACCTTTAGGTGGTATTTTGATTCATGAAAGTAGTATATTTTATCTCCATTTATCTCAATCTTTCAATATAATTTTTCCAACAAATTTCCTCACTTTCTCCATATCTTTTATTTGATTTGTTTCTAAATATTCCCTACTTCAGTATGCTATCCTCAATGAAACCTCTTTTTAAATGTCCTTTTCTCATTTATTTTGCTAGCATTTTGCTATTTAACATTTTTGTATCCAGAAATCTCTCATATTATCCCTATAGATTTATCAATATTATCTTCAAAAATTTTTAACATAATCGTATCATATGCGCAAACAATAAGTTTTGTCTTCTTTTCTAACCTTTAACAATTTGGTTCATTTTTTCATATTATTGTGCTGGTTAAGGATACCCAGTACGCTGTTGAAAAGAAGTGTTAATCACAGACGTTCTTGTTTTTTTTTTTCCCTGATCTTAAAGGGAACACTTTCAATATTTCACTAAGTCTCATACTGGTAGCAGGAATTTTAAAGATTAAAAAATACCTTTTTCAGCTGAGGAAGTTTTTTTTTAATTAAAAATATTTATCATGAATGAATGAATGTCTAATTTTGTTAGACAATTGTTCCGCATGTATTAAAGATAATCACATGATTTTCTTCTTTAATTGTTAAATGGTGAATTATGTTAATTGATTTGCTAGCGTTAAATCAACTTTGCATTCCTGGGATAATCCCAACTTGATCTTGAATTCTTTTTGTGCATTGGAAGATTCAGTGTGCTAATAATTTGTTTTAGATTTTTGCATCTATATTGATTTGACCTGTCATTTTATTTACTTGCATCGTTCTTGCCAGGTTTTCGTATTGAGGCATCTCCAGTCTCTCTCCCTTCCCCCAAAATCAGGGAGTGGGGTTTTCATGATCTCCATGAAAAGAGGTGAAGAATAGTCCCCTTATTCAACCTACCTAATTTTCTCTACCTAATGTGTGTGTGTGTGTAGTATCACACCTACTGCTACAGAAGACACATTCTTTTCAGGTGCATAGGGAACATTTTCAATACACTGAGCTAAAGGGAAATTAGCAGTCTGTATTTGAACCCTTATAGGTTTGATAGAATTCACTAGTAAAGATATCTGAAGTTCAAGATTTTTCATGACTGATTTAATTTTCTTAATGGTCAGGTTTTCTATCTTTCAAATTGGTTTTGGTAAGTTATATTTTTCTAAGAATTATCCTTTTGAATTTAAAATTTCACGTTTATTGTGTATGCCTTGCTATTATCTTTTAAGGGTCTAGATCACCTACACTATCTTTTTCTGTCTTTAAAAATAGTGATTTGTACTTTCTCTCATTTTTTTTAAATTATTAGTTTTTAATGAAGTACCATTGTATTACATCCTTGTTAATTTTTTGACAGTATAGGATTTCTCCCCTTAGGTGTGGTCTCTCACCTTTTTGTATTAATCTTGCTAAAGGTCACCAATTTAATTAGTCCTTTCAAAGAAACAACTTTCACCTTGTTGATCCTCTCTCGTTCACTAAGGTTTCCTATTCCAGTTAATCCTGCATCTTATCTTAATTATATCCTCCATTTTACATATTTTATTCTTTTCTAACTACTTAAAATGGATCAACCTATTTTCCAATAGATTCATTTAGGACTTCAATTTCCTTCTAAGATCTGTCTTAATATAAAGAGTTTTCCTTATTGTTTGATTCTAAATATTTCCTGATTTCAGATTTGATTAATTCTTTGGCTTAGAGGTTAATTGGAAGAGCGACTCTTAGTTTTGAAACATGCACAGTATTGCTAGTTAGCATTTTTCCACTAAGATCTAGCTTAATGGTATTATAGTCAGAGAACATATACTTATGATCTTAATGCTTTGAAATTTATTGCTAATTTCCCTTTAGCTCAGTGTATTGAAAATGTTCTTTATGCACTTGAAAAGAATATGTCTTCTGTAGCCGTAGGTGTGATACTATGCACACACACACACACACACGTTAGGTAGAGAAAATTATTGCGTGGTACAAATAGTCTATATCCCTGCTTATTTTTGTCTGCTTGTTCTAGCAATTATTGACATGGTGGTATATAAAAAAAATCTCCCACAGTAATTATGGCATGGTCTGCTTCTCCTCTCTGGAGGCTGTGTTATTAAATGGATATATATTTTAAGTTGTCATATCTTCACAGTAAAGAAAAACTTTTATGATTAAGAATTGACCTTTATTTCTAGAAATGCTTTTTGCCTTAATAACCTTTTTTGTCTGATATTAATTAAATACCCCTGTTTTCTTTTGGTTTAGAATTTGCCTGATATATTTTTATTCAGCCTTTTACTTCTAGTCTTTTTGTATCCTTAGGGCTTTTCTCTGTCTCCTGCAAATAGCACTTTAGGTCATCTTTTAGATACTTATTCAGTTCTTACAATCTAATCTTTGTTTTTAACCCAAGTGTTTAATCCATTTATTTTATTGTGAATGCTGATCTATTTGTATATGTGTCTATCATTTTTCTGGGTTTTCTATTTGCGTCGCTTGCTCTAGTATTCTCCTCCCTCCGCCTCTCAATTCCTTCTCCTACCACTCCCCTCCTTCTTTTTTGATTTTTTGTTTTCTCTAGATCCCCTTATCCATTTCCCCCTTTCTTTCGTTTGGAAAGAAAATACTCTTTTTTTTCCTTTGTTTTATCCTTAGAAATTGCGGCATTAATAGTTAACCGAAAGTCGAGTAGCTAAAACCTTTATCTTCATTCCAGTTACTCCCTCCCAACTTACCGTTAAATATTTAATTTTATCTTGCTTTTAAAAAGCTATGTGAAAGCATACATTGTATAAAAATGAAGAATGATGTAAAAAAATATATAAAATAATAATAAAATTTAAAAAATAAATAAATGAAAAGCTATGTGACTTAATCAGTGACCAACAATTCTAGTCATTGTGCAAACAAACCTCAAATTTCAGTAGCTTAGCCCAATGTTTTATTCCTCACTCGTGTCATAGTCTGGTGCCAGTCAGACCCCTCCAGGTGTGAGTCCTTCTAAAAGTGACGTCACCACATCTGAAAAAGCCTGTACAACCTTCAAAGCTGGCCTCCTATTTGTGGCAAGATGGGAGGGAGGCTGAGGCTTGATTCAAGTTCTAAAGAATCAGGCTTTTTAGTGAGGCTCATGGTTTCATTTGCCATACAATTCCTCCAAAACTTATAGGGCTTCTAAGTCTCTCTGGTGGCATTCTGGATAATTTCTTCTGCTTTATCTTCCACTCACTTTTTCTCTTCTGAACCGGATCGAATCTGATGTGAAACTCCTCCACAGAGCTTTTAACGTTGTGTTACACTTTTCATTTCCAGAAGTTCCATTTATTTCTCAAAATCCTTGGTGATTATTTATAGCTCCTTACTCTCTGCTCATACCTTCAAGTTTTCCTTTTCCTTTAAGCATTCTATATCTAGTTATGCAGCCCATCTCTGGCTTATAATTTTCTTACCAGAAGATATTGAATGGCCATTTTCATTTCTTCTTATAGTTTTGTTTTATTGAGGTAACATCATTTACCTCAATGTATAAGATTTAGAGGAACAGGTTCACACCTCCTCAGATGTCTGTTACCACACCTCCCCCACCACCACTCATAACTGTTTACCCCAGGCCATTGAGCCTACTCCTCCCTCTGTTGTCACCCCTGCCCACCCTCCCCTTATAGCAGCCTCAATCCTGCAACATATTTCTTTCTTTTTTTTTTTTTTTTAAAGATTTATTTATTTATTTATTTATACAAGCACTGGGTACAGTCAGAAGCGCGGGAGGGTGAGAGAACTCACCAGAGCCAGAGCAGGGAGCAGAGCAGGCTAAGGTTTGTTTTGGTTTAGTTTTGTCAGTTCCTTTGTTCCTTCCCTCAACTCCTCCCCCATATTCCACATGTGCGTGAAACCATCAGGTGTTTGTCTGCTTCCTTCTGACTTATTTCACTTAACATAATCTCTTCTACTTCCACCAATGTGGTCAGAAATATGAATGGCCCTTTTCACATCTGTGGCTTCTCCTGAATCTCACCCACTCCCGATGCCCTGTTGTTTGCTTGTTACTATAACTCAGACACTTTTGTAGGGGCAGAGGAGGAGGGGAATGCTTCTAGAATTTGGTTCCTTCATAGTGTATTTGATTCACTTCTGCAAGATATCTTGCAGGATTGCTCTAAATTAAATCCTCAGCTGAAACAGGTAGAGTGAATTCAGCTAAAACGCTGTGTGAACAACACTTCGTGGCTCCAAATTCTCACTGTCAATTCCACCTGGTCACCCACCCTCAACCTGGCATCTGACACCCGACATATTGTTTTCCTTGCATTCTCTTAGGTTAATTTCTGGCTTGTCCTTTCGTCGAGGGGCAAACCCTTTGGGATCTGGTCTTGGTGGATTGGAGAAATCCCCATTAGACTGGCTACCATAGGCAAACCCAGGGCTGTCTCCTGCTCCCATATCTCATGACACCATTAAAACCTAAACCCAGATTCACTCAATTTTGCAGACATCTTCAGAGAAAAGGTTGGCTTCAGCAATCTATTTCTCTGAATCCCCATGTTTATTTATTTTCTAGCTGCAGCATAGCTTATTCTGTTCATAGATCACAATGCTCTTAAGATTGTAGTATCCATGATTTTTAGAAATTTTTTGATAGAAAGAAGAATCCAAGGGGGACACCATATAATCTACAATAGGACCCTGTCTTCTGCTGATATTTTTCACAAAAACAAGGCCCATTTAATCACCAAGGGGCCTCCCCAGGAGAAGAACAAATATTAGACTCACTTTTCATTCTGTTCTAAGAGTAAAGCATTCTCATTAAAGTGAGTTGAAAAATATATACAAATTTAACTCAAAGATTAGAAATATTTGATTATATTTCTCTACAAATATATCCATGTTACCAATTTGGTTTATTTCCCTCTAGTCTGTATCCCACTCAATCAAAGTTTGTATATTAGTTGTGAGATTAACTAGAAACTTGGTGAGTTAAATATGAAGGAATATTCAGCAGCTGCTGAAAGCAATAGTTTATAAATTTTCTTTTTTTTTAATTAATAAATTTTATTTTTATATTCCCCATACAATTGCAATCCCCCCTACAATAATGCAAAGAAATTTTTTTTTTTTCCGGTAAGTTTTTATTTATTTATTTATTTATTTTAATTAATTTATTTATTTATACAAGCACTGGGTACAGTCAGAAGCGCAGGAGGATGAGAGAATTCACCAGAGAGAGAGTGGGGAGCAGAACAGGCAGAAGGAGCAAAGTACACTGCTGAGGGGAGCAGCAGGCCCGGCAGGAGAGGTCTGTCGCACCATGTGGGACCCTCGCCGGTGGCCAACTGGCACTGCAGAGGCTGCGGGCGGCTTCGCAGCCCAGCGCTCAACTGCTGCGCCACTGGGGAGGCCCAGGAACATATTTTTGATGTAATCTAAGTTGGGTAAAGATAACATAAAGCGATGGGATGGGGGGAAAGGTGAGGGCCTGGGGAACCTGGATGCAAGGGGTGAGGGGATGCTCCCTGGACCACCCATTCTAGGCTTCAGCAAGAACCAGCTGGCTCATGCCGAACCACTGCCCCACAGCAGGCCCTCAAATATATGCTGACTGACTGGCTAATGTTAGGAACCCCAAGTTCAGATATTTCTGGGATAGCAAGTGAAGGGATCCTATTTTCTTTCTCCTTACAAAAGACATCAAACAAATAGAGGATGAATCAATTTGTGTCCTAAAACGACAATTATATACAATCTGCATATAGTTTAGTGTAAGCTTAATTATGGACTGCAAACTGCTATCTAAGGGGATTCTAATATTCATTTCTAAACCTCCTTCCCTCTACCAAGGAACTGATGGAAACCATTAGCCAGGTGCAATTAAGGCAAAAGTCAATGCTGGTCATTTTGCTCAGGTGTCAGTGAGCGTGGCAGTGCTCTCTGGTGGTGACCCCCCCGGTTTTGTGACGTGGTAGGTCCTGTTATCCAGTGTCAAGGCCCAATGACAGCCTCTGCTTTTGCTCTTGCCCAGAGTTTACTGAGAGAATGTAGACTTCTATCAATTGTGTTGCTAAGGAAACAGCATTTTCCCCATATCCTCCACAAAAGGGTTCCTAGTTACTAATGCTCAGTTTTTACTTTTGCTTGTCAGATGCCTCTTTGTCCAGTAAACAGAACTGGTGTTTTAAGGCTGTTTCCAGTGTAAGGGAAATAACTTGCAGATTAAGTATAAAGAGAATATAACTGCCACCACCCTTCCTACCTTCCATCCCCCCATCTCCCCTCCCCCTGCACCAACCTACCTCTGCAACCATGTAGAGACACAGATCTAGCCCTTCCTGTGTAAAAGCATTAATGCTCCTCCCTCGGGACCTCCTCACTGCTGTTTGGGTGAACAAAGTGTTGCTGCACTGTTCTGTTCAGCACCCCAGCTTCACCCCTAGGCCAGAGCCTAGATCTGTGCAGATGCTCTATAAACATCCAATGACAGCTGAACCCAGATATTTCTTCCTAACAAATTAGAGAACCACACACATTTTTAATTTTTTTTAAGTGTTTACACATCTCCATGCACGGTGCTTCTGCTCCCCTGGAGGACTTAGTCCAACTGGGTTCACAGTGAAGACTTTCTCAGGCTTTGCCTGTTCTCTGTAACTTGCCTACTTGTTTCCTGAGAGCAGCAGCCCACAGACCTCCCTCCACACACTACTGACATTCAATCAGGTGGGCATCTGGTTGATCAGTTAAATAACTATGAATTGGTCTCCATGAAATCATAGGCACTTGCAATTTCAGAGCTAGTGGGGGCAACAGGTGTTGCCCAGGGCACCAAGATGAGAAATGCCCTGAGAGATGATTGGGCAATACCTGTTGAAAGCAGTGGGCCATGGAAGACTAGCTTCTATTCAAGTCAAGAGTGGGCCTGTTCTTACTTATTTGTGAGCTCCATCACACCACACTCTACCCCCTTACAAAAGGTTCCTGTTCTAGAGGACTGAGGCTTCAGAACAGGGTAAAGGAGGCATGACCACCAGCCCAGTGGTAGACCCCTGACTTTTCCACAATCAGTGAAGCATATTGGTACTGAGAGACCACAGGGAGCTGGTCATGTGTTTGAATAACAGGAACAAATGTGTCTGAAAGCAGCATCCCAGGAGCACCTGTCTTAATGGATTGAATTGCTCTGTGCTCTTCCCAGACCTTCACTTGATGAAAGGTGATGAGAAAAGCTGCCAGAACCTAACAGTTTCTTTCTCTCTGCAGCTGCGGGTTTTCAAGCTGGCCAAATCCTGGCCAACCTTAAACACACTCATCAAGATCATCGGAAACTCCGTGGGGGCGCTGGGGAACCTGACCTTCATCCTAGCCATCATTGTCTTTATCTTCGCTCTGGTTGGCAAGCAGCTCCTCGGGGAAAATTACCTGCAGGAACGGTGCCTTACCACCAACATGTCCATTCCCAAGGAAGGCTGCCCCCGCTGGCACATGCACGACTTCTTCCACTCCTTCCTTGTCATCTTCCGGATCCTCTGTGGAGAGTGGATTGAGAACATGTGGGTCTGCATGCAAGTGGGCCAGAAATCCATATGCCTCATCCTTTTCTTGACAGTGATGGTGCTGGGGAATCTGGTGGTGAGTGCTGAGCCCCCTGGGGGCCCTGGCTTGTGGGCAATGGAGGAGATGTCTGGGTCATCCCAAAAAGCTTTGACATTGCACATTTTTATGCCCACATTCTACCTCCCTGATCAAATAGTCGTCAAGCTTTTCAGTCATGTGGGATACAATAAAAGAATTGTCCCAAGGGAGGCAGCCTGACTTGCGGGGATAAGCCATGTGATGGAGGAGACCTGAGTTAGCACCCTGACTCCACCACTAGTAAAACTGGGTGACCCAGCACAAGAAGCAACCTCCCCATACTTCAATTTCCTCAAAATCAAGCAAATAGTGCTTACTCATAGGCTTATTGAGAGAATTAAATTGCAGGAGATGACATACGCAAATTGCTTCGTGCAGTGGCTGGGCCATGGCAGAAACTCAATAAGTGGGAGCTGTTAGTTGTAGAAAAGAAAGAAAAAGTCCTTTCCTGTTCTAGAGGGTCTCAGTATATATTTTTCTTCAGCAGTAGAAATGACTGATTTCTCCAAACTACACAGGTCCAAGCTAGGAGCAAGGGGCAAGCTCACAGGACTGGATGAAAGTGAACATTTGGGTCATGGACAACATCCAATGTCACACTGATTATGACAAAATCCATTCCCACATTTGGGGGAGCCCCTCTGGGGACCTCCTTCCCAATTGGCCTCTGAACCCTTTCTCGGGTCCATTCTGGCTCCTTACCCTCGGTCTCTAGTTCTGGGTGCTCTTGCTGGCTGGGGTGGGGTTGGGGGACAGTGTGTATTTCCAGGAGCCCCTTTCTTTGCCCTGGAAGTCAACCAACTTAGATTCTTTACCCATAAGCACTTTACAGACAGGAGGAAACTAAACCAAGAGGGAGCATGAAGTAATACATCTAAAGTCTTCCAAGTCTTCCCTACCCTATTCCCTGAGCCAGAGATTCCTTCTGCCCACATTCCCACGTGCAGGGAGGGCTTGGCCCAAAAGTCTTTCTTTCAGTCTGAGTGCACCATCCTGCAGTACCACAGGTGCCCCTAACCCTCACCCAGAAAGCTTGCCTCTCTGAACACTTTTATATGTTCACTCTGGGAGGTAAGGAGTCCCCACTCCCTACCTACAGGTGAAGAACATGAAGTTGGAAGCAGCAAGATGTGCCAAGGATTCCGGAGTGAGGACTGGAACCCAGGGCATCGGCAGGTGGTGGTGGTCCTGGGCAGGCACATGCCTTTCCTCTCTGTTGTCCCTGAGTGTCCCCTTTGCTCAGCAGGGGTGATTCTCCTCTCCTCAGAGAATGTGCTTCCAAGCCTTGTCCTCACGAGGCAAGCCATTCTGGGACATCCCCAAGGCTCCCCTCGGATGCACTCAGGATGCCCACTCCCTCATGTGTGGACAGGGAGAGTCCCACATGTGGTGGTCCTGCCTTCCAGTTGCCCACCTGGTGGGTCATGGCGGGGCTCAGCTCCTTGACTGAGGCACCTCCCCACCCGGTCCTTCTCTTCAGGTGCTCAACCTGTTCATTGCCCTGCTGCTGAACTCCTTCAGTGCCGACAACCTCACAGCCCCAGAGGACGATGGGGAGGTGAACAACCTGCAGGTGGCTCTGGCCAGGATTCAGGCATTTGGCTGTCGCTTCAAGAAGGCCTTTCACAACTTCTTCGGCAGGCCCTGCCTTCTTCCCCGGCCCAAGGAGGAGCCCCAGCTGGTGGTGAAGCTCCCCCTCTCCAACGCCAAAGCAGAGAACCACATTGCTGTCGACGTGACAGCAGGGAGCCCCGGACATTTCCTGGCCCCCAAAGGCCCCAGGGAAGACCACACTGACTTCATCACCAATCCTAATGTCTGGGTCTCTGTGCCCATCGCAGAGGGCGAATCTGACCTGGATGACTTGGAGGAGGATGGGGAAGAAGATGCTCAGGGCTCCAAACAGGAAGTGAACCCCCCAGGGCAGGTGAGTGTTCTCAAAAGAACAGCCACAGAAAGCAGGGAAAGGCCTCAGGGCTTGAGTGATCCAAGACAGAGGGGAAATTTGATAAAGAGATTTTCCAGTAGCAGGGCTGGCACAGACTGGAAGAGTCCCTGATGTAAGCCAGTACCAACCTTGGCCAGCTTTCCAGAGGGGGTGGCATGTGAGCAGGGTCTGGAAGAAAGGGTCAAAACCCCCCATGCAAGCATGAAGGCAGGGATTGCTTGAGCCCTAGTCCTCACTCAGATGATAGAGGATTGTCTCTCACTCTGCCGCATACCCTGCCCAACCCAGGCTCTGTGCACGAGATGCTAGTGAGAGTTCCTCTGAACCGGATGTTGTCCAAGAGCAAGGCTTGTCAAATATTCGCCAGCAGCCTAAGGAGTCCAGTTTATCATGACAAGGGATGTCACTGGGAAATGACACTGGTTCCTTTTGTAGCCAAAGAATTTGAAGTATATTTAAGCTGTTGGTAACATATATTTTTTTAAGCACTCTGCATAATTTCTAGCCACCTCAAGCCTTGCTAGCCCCTTCTCAGAGACTTGGGGTGTTGTCACTGCAGGGGAAGGGAGGGATCCTTATGGGACCTGGGGACATGCAGGGCTGCTGCCCAGGCCACTGAGTGGCCTCAGACAGCTATGCTTTGAGTCTGCAGCTCTTCCATAGCCTTCTTCCCTGCCACTGTCACTTGTCTTGTGTTCCAGTGGCTGCTGTTATCAGCTGCCATATTTTACATGCCTTTGTCTGAGTGAGAGCCGAGGGCAGGGTGTCACCATCCCCAGAGTAAAAGGACATGAACTCTGAGATGACTGTCTCTACTCAGAGAAATTTCACTTACTTTGAGGTAAGTTCTGAAGGGATTCCAGATGGTACGTTCACTACCATTCTGACCATTGGACAAGTAATAATGATCGTGGCTTACAGTTATTGAGCCCAGGAATTTGTGCAAAACGTTTCATAAGCATAACATATTTAGTCATCAACATAAACAAATGACATAGATCTTACCTTCTCAATTTTACAAATGGGAAAATGATCAAAGAGATTCCATAAGCTGCCTAAGGTCACACAGCTTGTAGGTAATGGAGCCGAGATTAAAACACAGATCTGTTAGTTATAGAGTGTGTATGTTCATTTCACACAAGTGTGTGCATATGTGTGAGTATGTGTGCATGTAAGCATGTATGTCACTTGCATACATAGTTGGCCCAACAGACTACAATGTGCAAGATATCTTCAAATTTAGAAATGGGCAGCTGAGTGTGGGCCCAGGTATTCAGCCAGGGTCCTATCTCACTAGCAGGAGAAGCTGCAGCAAGTCCAGCAGTGTGAGGACCACCTGGGGCCCAGAAGCCCCAGCTCCAGAACATCCTCTGAGGACCTGGCACCATATCTGGTTGAGAAGTGGAAAGATGAGCCTGCTGCTCAGGCCCCTGCAGAGGTAGGTATGTGAGTTTGCTGGAGAGGTTGAGGCACCTGTGGGACACTGCCCAGCAGGGTCATGGGGGCTAGAGGATAGGGCTGGATGGAGTATTCTAGATTATACTCGAAAGTGTAACCTCATTTATCATCTTGGGAAGTTTTAAAATCCTTCCTCACCTATGGACTAATCTACATGAGGCCCACAGAAGAGTGAGCTTCCGTGAGCTAGGAGGCACGAGGACCAGTTCCTCGACCTCTCTGCACCTCCTGTCTCCATCTATGAAACTGAATGGTAATGCCTACAGTGTGGGATTCTTGTGATGCTGAAAGGAGATGCTGCTTGTCAAGTGTTTAGCTCCTGCCTCAGATGGAGTAAGTGCCCAGAAAACGACAGCCAAGGGAAAAAAAAAAAAAAACAGGAAAACAAAAGACAAAGCCCAGAGAAAGTTAAATATCCTCAGAGCCAGCAGATAACAGTCAGAGCTGCTCACAGACGGGTGAGGAAGGCCTTCGTGTGACTCCCCCACACCCGCACCCCACACCTCTTTTGTCCACATCATCTTCTCTAACCAAAAACAGGCTGTTTCAGGGGAGCTGCTGTCTGGAGGTGAGTAGTGTACTGACAGTCTTACACAGACTGAGCAGGAGGAAGAATCGGGGTTTAGGAATGCCTTGTACGAGGTGAAAATAAACCTTCTGATCATGGCAAATCTTTGAAAAAAACAATATAGGGAAAGAGCAATCCATAAAGATTTAGTGTGTTTAGTGACATTACATTAAATTCAAGAATTTAACTCGACACGTAGCCACTGAGTGCTGACGCTGGGACAGGCCCTGAGCTGGGCAAAGATAAGGAAGACAAAATTCATCCCCAAAGTTATCAAGCTCTTCAGCTTGAGGAATGTGAGCCTCTGGCTGTGTGCCTTTGGACCAAGCTGACCACAGCACGGGAGATAAGAGGGTGGATGGGATCTGGAGGCCTTAGAGACAGAAGCACTTTGCTCTGGGTGGGCCTAAGCAAGAGTGGCCACCTTCTCCATGCAGATGTTCTGTTTCTGCTACACTTCTAAGGGCTCCCCTGGAGAGTCTTCTCGACTTGATGTTTTCAGTACAAAACTACTGGGGATTGTTTTTGTTTGTGTTTTTGTTTTTACTTCATGACCTTGGTCAGGCAGGGAGGGGCCTGACAATGACAGATGGGGACCCACCCCACCATTTGGGTCCATTAGCCGAGCTATCAGGTTTACTAATATGACAGCAGCTTCAACTCCTAATTGAATTCATCTGGAGACATTATAGGGCTGGAGCTGCCAGGAGGGCAGCAGGGCCCCGCAGCATTGCTCCGTGATTAAATATTCAAGCCCAGTGAACGCTGAGAGTCTTTATGGGTGTAATTACGGTGTCTCGGGTCATTGCCAGCACTCCATCAGGGGCCTGGAGTTTTAAAGCCTCGCACACCAAACCCCTGGGGCTCCACAGAGAGCATCGCTGTTCTGAGCCTCAGCTGACAAGGCACCAAACACACAAGGGACACCATTGTGGGTCCCAGCAGCCAGTCCCGAGGCCTGAGGTGCTTTCCCTGCACCTCAGAACTCTCAGCCTGTCCGACCTACAGTGACAATATGCGGGTTTGCTGGACCCCTCAGAGAATGGGGTTCACTGCCCTGGACTTCTGCCCTGCAGGGAGTGGATGACACAAGCTCCTCCGAAGGCAGCACAGTGGACTGCCTGGACCCCGAGGAGATCCTGAAGAAGATCCCCGAGCTGGCAGATGACCTTGATGAACCAGATGACTGCTTCGCAGAAGGTAACGTGGCTGTCAAGGGCCTCCACGTGTTAGCAGTAGTTAGGGCCAAAATCCAGTTCTACAAACACTCCTCTGGGCACCTCTGTGTCTAAGGCCCTGAACTGGGGCCCACAGGAGACAGACCAACGCGGCCCATCACTGCCTCACTCCCAGCCTGAGGGGCCAGCATTAAAAACCCCTCATAGTCTGGTGGAGGTAGGTATCTGCCTCTCAGGCCGAGTCAAACATGGCACATGCGTGCTGTGCCTCCCTCGTCACCCTCGACAACACCTCACTGAGGTATAAACTAGCTTTCCTGAGGTTGAAAAGGAAAAAGCTAGTCGCCACCATAAACGCTTTTGATTTGGGAAATAAAGAAGCCATAGGAAGCCACGTTGCATCCTTGTCCCCCAGTCTTTTCTGTAACTTTTAAAGGTAGAACCTGCTCCTTACTCTTCCTCAATATTTACAACAGCAGACACAAGAGAAAATTGTGCAATAAATGAATCTATATATAGTTTATACCACGAAGACAATTTGGCCCTCAGAAATTAAGAGAAACCACTTGACTGAGTTTCCACTTCCATCTGGCCCTGGGCTCCTCCCAGCCATGCGGCAGCCTCTTAGTAGAGCACAGGCTCAGGGCCTCACCCATCAGACACTCCAAGCCCATGGCCACAGCTCTCAGGCCTGCAGAGTCAGGCAGGGCTAAGGACAGGGGCCTCTGGTCTCATCATCATCAGTAGGAAGGCAGATGGTTGGGGAGGACAACATAGTGGGCAACTCGAAGGTGGAAAAGAACACCTGAAGGGCAGGGTTGAGAGACTTCTTTCCTTTTCCAGGAAAGAATTCCTCTGCAGAGGAGTGGTGAGGGGATTTCCCAGCAGAGTGGTCCTCCCTCCCCAGGGGACATGGCTCACTATCAGTCACCTCTCCCCCCAGGCTGCGTTCGCCACTGTCCCTGGTGCAAAGTGAACACCACCAAGTTCCCATGGGCCACGGGCTGGCAGGTGCGCAAGGTCTGCTACCGCATTGTGGAGCACAGCTGGTTTGAGAGCTTCATCATCTTCATGATCCTGCTCAGCAGTGGGTCCCTGGTAAGAAGAGGCAGGATCCTGCCCCCAAATCCCCCAGATGAGATGCCCCACAATCAAAGGCCCTGAAACTGCCTCGCGCCTGACTCCTGGGCTCAAAGGTCCCCAACTGGTTGACTGGAGGAACTGCAGGCCAGCACGAGGGCTTCTCCTCATGCTGAGCCTGGCTATAAATCTTTCGAGCATGAGCAGATACATCCCATTTTATAGATGGGGCAATGGACGCTTCAAGGGTTTAAGGGCTGCGTCCAAAATTACCCATCTTGTCAGTAATGAAACCTAACTTGGTCCTCTTTTGGTCCCTGCAGAGACAGGCAGGGCTAAGGACAGGGGCCTCTGGTCTCATCATCATCAGTAGGAAGGCAGATGGTTGGGGAGGACAACATAGTGGGCAACTCGATGGTGGAAAAGAACACCTGAAGGGCAAGGTTGAGAGACTTCTTTCCTTTTCCAGGAAAGAATTCCTCTGCAGAGGAATTCTGATCCCAAAGTCCCTGACTTTCCACCCTGTAACCCCTAAAACACACTGGACTTCTCTGAAGGCCCAGGACATAGAGAACCGAGTTTCCCTGTCTTCTCAAGACACTTAGTGTTACTGCTAGCACAAGTTCAAAACTCACAGCCAGTCGTTACAAGGATACTTCTCAAAATTTAATCACCTGGGGAGTTTGTAAAAATCCAGATTCTGATTCCATAGGTCTAGGGCAGGGCCTGAGAATCTGCATTTCCCGCGAGCTCCCAGGTGATGCTGATGGTGCTGGCCCTTGTGCCACTCTTTGGATAATAAGGCCTTACTGGTGTCAAGGTTCTGAGTTAGGTGACACTTCCTAAGTCCCTTGCCGAATGTTCAGCTGTGCAGCAAGGAAGGATGAGTCTCTGCACCATAGCTCAGGCTCCCTGCACGATCGCAACTATGCTTCCTGAGAAGCCACAGCAGACACAGGCACAGGAGGGCGCCCCTCATCCTCAGCTGTCGCACTGAGCACATCAGGAAGTAGAAGCCCAAAGATGTGAAGGCAACGACCTGCCTGGGATCCAGGCCAATTCGCGAGAGGGGACAGGAGCCCCACTTTCCTGACTCAAGGGTTTCCATGTGTCTTGCTCCCCAGATGCCGTGTGTCAAGGAAACATACCGAATACCTAGGCAAACGCCGAAATGTCAGCTTTCCCAGAAAGGGTGCCCAAACACTTTAGCATGTGGCTGCAGCCTTAGGGAGAGACAAAGGCAAATGGGAAGGCCTGGCCTGAGCGGTAGGAGGAAATGGGGGCCACCCCTGGCACAAAGCAAGGAGCAGGGACTGTCCTGCCAGGGAGGGTGAGTGGGAGGGAGAGGCAGTTTCTGAAGCTGCCCATTGTCCTGGCACCGGGTAGAACTGTCCATGGAGCCAGCAGTCCCAATACAGTGCTGGGTGCAGAGGTCATGTTGCAGGGCAAGGGCAGGCTGGCTGGCATGTTCTCCAGGCCTGTCCTTCCCTCCTTTCTGTCTACCCTGATGAATATAATAAGCACATTGGCCTAAGGGTTTTCCTCATGAGCTCCTGGCTTCTGGCTTCCCACAGGGCTTCTTTCCACATTTTCTTCTCTGCTGTCCCTCCCCTTCCTCCCTCTCTCTCTCTCTCTCTCTCTCTCTCCCCTGCCCACCCCCCAACCTCTGGCCCAGCTTCTCCAGACTCCCCAGCTACCCCCCTCCCTCCAACAGGGAGCCAGATCCTGCCCAGCTGCTGGCCCCACCCCAGCCCCTCACCTCCCCATCTCCTTCCCAAGGGACTGAACAGGCTGGCACCAAATTTAGTCTTCCTTATGCTTTTACTTAGAGTACTTTTTAAAAAATAGCATGAGTTTTCATCTGACAAAGTAAAGTGCAAGAAAAAAGCAACAACTTGAAAATGATGGGGAAATGCAAAGAAGAAATATCGCCCATTTTCCTATCACTCAAAGAGAATCTCACGTTGAAAACATTTTGGAACACTTCTTTCCCACCTTTCCTGTGCGTGTAATATGTAAATATTACAAAGATGAAGCCGCCTTTCTGTGTGCTGCGATTTCTCATTGCACGGCTCATCCGACGGCACTTCATGGCTGCAGTGTGTTGCTTCACAGGAATGCGCCACAGTTTATTTTATCAACCCCTATGCTTACTTCTAATGTGCACTGAATATCTTTATGTATGCTTTTTGGAGAGGTTGACTTATTTCTGTCTTAGTTCCAGTCTTAGAAACAGAACCGGAAGCGGAGATTCTTGTGAGAGCAGTTTGTGAAGGGGGTGCTCTGAGGTGGAGCCTGTGAGGGAAGCAGGACAGAACAGAGAGGGAGACACATGGCTCCCTGTCTTCCAGCCTCAGCCTGGTGCCAAGGGAGCCTTGTTCCCCTTGAGGCAAAGGTCAACCTTTTATTCATTTATTTATTTATTTATTTTTTAAATTTTACTTTTTTTTCCCCTTAATTTTGATATATCATTGTTCACTTTGGTACAATATCTGATCTCTCCCCTCAGGTGTAGTTCCCACAAGTCTCCCACCATCACAGAACCCGTGACCCATCACCATGGTCCCCTGTGCTTTTCCCTGCCCTGTGTTGATCCCCACCTTGCGCCTCCCCTGCCTCAGGGTTTGCCTGCAAGTTTTGCCTTTTTCCTGGCACTTTGTTTGGTTTCCCCATATTCCACCTATAAGTGAAACCATCCATATTTTTCTTTTTCCGTTGGGTCAGCCTTTTAAACTCAGTCAGTCACTGGCTTCTGGCTGCCCCCAGGGTGGGGTATGACCTCCAAGGTGTTTCCCAAGTTGGAAGCAGTCCCCTTCAGCCCGCGAAGTCTTCAGGAAAGGGGGCATGCAAGAGTTCTTTGCAGCTGACATTCACAGCAGCTGGGAGGGAGCACTGGCGCCTGGATCAGGACCGGTGGGGGGTTTGGGGGAGCCAACAACCTGCAGGATAAACTCCTGAAGGCAGAACTGCTTCAGCTTCCTATTACCAACTGACTTCACAAAAGACTGGTTTCCACTGCCACCCGCCATGTCTGAGAGTAACCCTACCCCACAGTTTCTCAACACTGGAGTCCCCGCACCTTGGCCATTCTTTTTCATCTTCACCAACCTAATAAAAGGAAGATGGCATCTTCTTTTTACTTGATTTTCCTTGATTACCATGGAGCTAGAATATTCTTTTTCGGAGGTTCATGGCAATTCTTGCTTTCATTGTTGTGAACTGCCTGTGAACATCCTTTGATGCTTTTATTTTTAAACCTAGTCGCTGTTAGCATCCCTTTGGTTCACTTCCAAAATCCAATTTGAGAAGGTGTCCTTTCTCACTTGCATCCAGCTCCCCTGCAAAGCAGAAGCAGGGCTTTGTCCCCATGGGCTCGGAGGAAGTCACAGCTTCCCCGCTACCCCATCTGACCTCCCCAGAGAAGAGCAAACAAAATGACGCCAGCTGCTGACAACCCTCCTACCACCAGAGCTGTGGGTCCACACCGCCTGCCTTTCTGCTCTCTTTTTTCCAGGCGTTTGAAGACTGTTACCTTGACCAGAAGCCCACAGTGAAGGCCTTGCTGGAATACACTGACCGGGTGTTCACGTTTGTCTTTGTCTTCGAGATGTTGCTCAAGTGGGTGGCCTATGGCTTCAAAAGTTACTTCACAAACGCCTGGTGCTGGCTGGACTTCCTCATCGTGAATGTGAGTGGCTCATGTGGGGTTTGGAGTCCTCACCTCTGATTGCTGCAGCTGGTACAAAGGTCAAGAGGGAACTAGACTCCATCCAGACTAGGACTCTTTGCACCCCACTTCTCTGAGCAAATACACTTGAGACTCTCTTTATATTCCTCAAAAGAGACTTTAAGTATAACCTCCATAAAAGGGACATCATCTTCCCAAGTCTCTGAAAATCAACCAAAGTTTCGGGGCTATTGGGATCTGGCTGTGCCCCTTTGAGGGGAAAGGGAAGGCTGATTTAATACACAGGGAGCTTGGCCACCTCCACACCAGCGTTTCAGATAAGTGATGAATGAAATCCTTAATGAAAGGAAAGGGACTGGATTCTCTCTCAGCCTCTCATAAGGAGGGAGCCAGGACCATGGCTCAGACTGAGGAGTGGTGGGAATGATTTCCTGTCTCCTTTCGCCAGGATTTCCTTTCTGGAACACTAGGGTGACTCTTTTGCTCTCTGCCTGCACTCAGATCTCACTGACAAGCCTCGTAGCAAGAATCCTGCAGTACTCTGACATGGAATCCATCAAAGCCCTTCGGACCCTCCGTGCGCTGAGGCCACTGCGGGCTCTGTCTCGATTTGAAGGCATGCGGGTAAGACCTCTCTCTAAGCTGCTCTGGCCTGCAGCCTGTGGCATCCTTCCCACCTCTATGCCCGGCTCACCACTGAGCTGAGCTTCCGGTCCCACAGGTGGGCTCTGGGTCCTCACCTCCTGCTCAGAGGCTGTTGTGCTTCAGTGTCCTAAATCCCCTCATCCTCGCTCGAGTCCCTTTGCCATCCCCTCTTCCCTTCGCACCTTAAATATCACATCTCCAGGGCGGAAACCCCACTCTCTCCTGTTCTAAGTGAAATGATCCTACTTCACAGCTCCACTGGCATCTCTTACTTCAATCTTCCAGCCCTGCCTTAATTACCAAATATCTCGAGAACATCCCAAGCTGTTGAACTTCCCGTGACAAATGAACTTTAACTCTCCATTAAATGTAGTGATGTCGTCTGCTCAGCAACTTGGCCACCGCCCATTGGAATGTGACTTCTCTCCTCCCTACAGTGGCCATCCGGTCTTGTGGACCTTGTCTTTTCCTAGATCCCTTTTCTATCCATCTCTACCAACCTCCACCTTGCCTTCATGCTCTTCCTCAGGATGGAATGCCCACAAGTCTGGCCCATTCTTATGGGGAGACAAGGAACTGCTGATTGTTCTCCCTCCCCTTCCTCATAATGACAAGAATTCTTGGTATGGAAAGTGAAGTTTTATTTTGTTCCTCTACCATTGACTCAAATAAGACTTTCTATCTCCCCCCCAAAAAAATGAACTTTTAACATCAACCCGTGCCTTTACAAACCCTACCATTGAAATGAACCTCTAGTGCTATTGTACTGCACTATCACAATTGAAAGAGTGTGATTATTTTGTTTTATTGTATCTCCATGTTGCTGATTTACAAAGAAGCAAGTTGGTGAATATGTATTTAGGTTTTCACTAATTCTTGAGCAAAGCACACTTTACACTTTCATGTAAATGTGTTTACACTTTTATTTTATGTGTTGCATTTAAGGAAAGCACAGTTCTAGAAGTCTGTAAGGGCAGTGGGACATTCACACACTTACCTGAGCACATGACTTAAGAACTCACCCATCTCTTCAGTCTTCAGTTGTTTCTGAGGTTAAACTCAATGACCCACAGCTTCTGCTTCTTCCAAAGGCCACTGGGTCATGAAGCAGCCTAAGTGCACGTAGAAAGAAGTGGGATCCAGCAAGGAGGGGTAGGCATTTGTGGGGTTCCAGTCCTTTGCGCTTCCCCCCAGGTGGTGGTAGACGCGCTGGTGGGTGCCATCCCATCCATCATGAATGTCCTCCTGGTCTGCCTCATCTTCTGGCTGATCTTCAGCATCATGGGCGTGAACCTCTTCGCGGGGAAGTTTTGGAAGTGCATCAACAACACCAATGGAGACTTCGCTCTTGTGCCTTGGCTTATCGTGGATAACAAATCCGAATGTTCAAACAATAACAACACCGGCGACTTCTTCTGGGTCAATGTGAAGGTCAACTTTGATAATGTTGCAATGGGTTACCTGGCCCTTCTGCAGGTGGTGAGTCCTGAGATCAATCCTGTCTCTTCCTTTGGCTGCTGGTAAAAGGAAGGGGTTGGGTCTCCCAGAAGAAGCTATGTAGATATTTTGCAAGGGGTAGCAGTGTGAGCCGAGGTCGTTCCCTAGTCCTAGAGACTACCCCGTGGGGCTAGATGACCTTGCCAGAAATCGTGATCTTCATGGTGCAGTTGGAACAACATGGACTATTAGAATAGAATAGAGGAGTGGGAATGGTGTGGGGTGGTGTGGGGTGATGACTTAGCACACACCCCCTGTACAAAATAGACATGATGCTGCAATTTGCAGCAACATGGATGGCGCTGGAAGGGCTCATGCTCAGCGAAATAAGCCAGAAAGAAAAAGAAAAATACCGGATGGTCTCACTCATAGCAGGAATCTAGAAAACCTAAATAAGGGACCAGGAAAAGGAATAACTATAAGAAAGTGAAAAAATCAAAATCAACAAAAAACTATGAACCAGAGACACTTTTTGGGGGTGGGGGGCAGGAGGGGAGGGATTGCAGTCAGAATGGGGGGGTTGCAGTTGTATGGGGAATATAAAAATAAAATTTATTATTTAAAAAAAAGATTTATAAAATTCTAAAATTTATAAAAAAAAAAAACCAACAAAATAGACATGATGCAGCCACATACTCAGTCGTCTACTGCACCTCATCTCCTAGAGGGTAATAAATTGTGTTCCATGTCAATTGTAATGAAAATGCTAGAAAATGCTAGTGGTGATGACAAACACATTCATACATTCATTCATTCATCCCTTGCCTTCATTCACTCATTCACTCTGCCATTCATTCATGTGTTGATGCTGTTTCTTATACATCTTATATCCACAAGTTCCTGCATTCCACCATTTGTTCATTCACTCATTCAACAAATAATCCCTGCGTAACTGTGTTGCACTAGGCACTATGCTCAACCCCTGGATACACAGACAGTGCTGAATGCAGGGGCCAATGTTCTATGAGAAACACAGACAAATACGTAAATCAAAGCACAGATTCCAGTATAGATGGATAGGGAGGCACTGAGTATTTTCTGCTCTTTGTTTCTAGGCAACCTTTAAAGGCTGGATGGAGATCATGTATGCAGCTGTTGATTCCCGAAAGGTAAGTCTCAGCCCACGATGGCCACTGCCTTCCCCTCTGTGCAGCCCACCCACACCAATCTATGTGAAGCAGAATGATGGTGGCCCTGGTACTGGGAGAGGCCATCATCCAGCAGCCTGGCACCCTCCTCCCAAAGCAGTGTCCAGTTGGCCCTCTCTTGGATATTTAAGCCCACCTCTCCTGTTCCCCTGCCATACCTAATTCCCCAGATCTCTCAAGCTCTTCCTCTGCTCACCATTGAGAAAAGTATCAGATAAAGGATAAACTTCCTGTGCAAATGCTAGAACAAAAGAGTACATGAAGGCATGAGATGGAATTTCAGGTCTATCATGGCTGTCAGGTGGAGGAGATGGTAGCTGATGGGGAAAGACCCTCTCTTGCTGTGGTAGACACTGTCAAGGCCCTGCCCCATCTCCCCTCAGCCCACCTCTGAGTCCACTGCCATGCTGAGCTTCTTACTCTCTGTCTGACACTTGAATTTCTTTCACTGCTTTGGAGCTTACTCAGCAGCCCTCTCCCCTAAAAGCAGGGACTTAATGTCCATAGGGGCAACCCTCACAGATAAGTCTTGGGAGTCTGTAGCTAAAGGCTCCAGCTTCCCTGTCCCTTTGTGATACTATCTTGAGGTGTGTTCCACACAGCTCCTTAGGGGCCGCCTACAGGATGGAGCACCAGATGCCACAGTGATGGCCTCTTAACAACATCACCTTCGTCCACTTTTCTTCAGCTCCCACTTCCCTCCCTCACCTTCAATCTTGCTACCTGGGATCACCTTCCAAATAAGTGACCTACACCAGGGTTTTGTCTCAGGGATGGCTTTTGGGGTGAACCCAAATTAAGACATCCCCCCTCCTCCCTGTGCTCCACCTTTTCTGGTAGCAGGTGGACTTGCAGCCCAAGTGGGAGGACAACCTGTACATGTACTTGTACTTTGTCATCTTCATCATTTTCGGAGGCTTCTTCACATTGAACCTCTTTGTTGGGGTCATCATCGACAACTTCAATCAGCAGAAAAAAAAGATAAGTGGGGCCCGGGTGTTGCTGCAGTCGTGACGACTCTTACACTGCCTTCCCCTTGCCTCCTGACCAAAGCCAGCACCTTCATAGGGCTCCGTGCCTGACCACACCCAGTCTTGACCTTTAATACCCACACCCGCCTTTACCACTGATGGCAATCCTGGTGTCTGAGGCTGCTGCTGGAAGAGCTTCCTGGCTCTGTGTCAACAGCACCCTATCCAGAGTGCCCATCCTCTTTCCCAAGGTGACAGTCTCCTTGGGTGTGTTGGGTGTCAACCGGGGGCCCCTTGGGAAATGCCAACAGGGAAAGAAAGGCTGTACATTTGCTGTCGATGTCTGGGCCCCTGACCCCAGAGCACTAAGCCAGGACAGCTTAGGAAGGCTAAGAACCCAAATTGGTAGAATCCAGGTCTCCTTGGGATAGGGAAGAAGGCCCTTTCAGAGAAGAGAGATGGCTGGGATGTCCTTTGCCTCTAGCATGGTCTGATTTGAGTATCCTTAGGGGTTCCTGGTGTTTTAATAACAACAGTTCGTTATCCTCTTCTGCACTTAGGGGGCCAGGACATCTTCATGACGGAGGAGCAAAAGAAGTACTACAATGCCATGAAGAAGCTGGGCTCCAAGAAGCCCCAGAAGCCCATCCCACGCCCCCTGGTGAGCCCAAGCTTCCCTCTAACAGGCATGCCCAAAAAGCCGACCCAACAGCCTACGCCTGTGTGGGCCAGGGACCCAGCCAGTGCTCCCTGTGGAGGAGGAGATCTGGGTTGATTTGGGGAATGAGAGTTCCCAGGCTGAAGGAATATAGGGTGAAAAAGAAGCAGCTCTGGTCTTCTGGCATGAACATACCTTCTAAGATGTTCCAAATAGACTCTTTAGGAAAATTCCAGTACAGGTTTGGGGCAGATTACGCTCAGTGATAGTAAGGGCAGTTAGAGCCATACTATGAAACGTTTATGTGACTGTGCATCATGATCTAGGTTGCAGTGGATGCCCAGCCTCACCCTAGATTCCACTCAAGACCTATCAGTAAACACAGAGGAAATGGCCCAAGCCCCACACCCCTGCAGTCTGGGACTCAATCATAGTCTTGATAAGGTGGCACACTAAGAACTAAAAAATCCTACACTAGTGTTTAGGATTGATCAGAACTCAAGTTATACTCCACCTTGACTCCTAATTTGCAAAGACCCTAAGACACATGCCCTCTCATTCCCCCACTAAGTACAATACCCACATCACACACGATACCACTTAAGTTCTTCTCAGCCTTCTGCCACAAGATGGAAGCAGACCTCTGGTGGGTCCCTTTTGGGAGTGGATAAGCAGGTTGGAAGTGAGAACATTACCATGTTAGCAATGTACAGCTAAACCTGTTCAGCAAATGTCAGCGCCATCCACTCTAGTGAATGGAATTAGCATTTTGTACCTTTACATGAACTTTCTGTGGTTAAGATGCATCATTTATGAGGACAACTACAGGTACAGTCCATGGCACACCATTAGCCCTTCCCTGCATAAGGCCAAAGCCTCAACAAAGGAGCAGGCCTTTCCCTAAATGAATCAGGAGACATACATTCTATCAGCCAAGGCATTAGGACCTCTAAATCAAGGCATGGGGTTTGCATAAGTTACTAAAATTTTCATGAGCACAGATTCTTGAAAACATTTATAGGAGAAAAAATATGATGACTTTTGACATGTTTTACTTGGAAGAAGTGGCCATAAATGCACTGCTATTCTCAATTGTGATAAGAAGTGTTACAGGGAGGAGTGATAAGATGGCCTGGAGGAGCAGAGATTTCCTTCCAAATCCCCCATGAGATCCAGATAACTGGGGTTGAATGAGCCTGACGGAAAGCCCCTAAGCCTCGGGGACCATCCCTCTGTCCACCAGTCCGATGAGCAGGAACAGGCTCAAAATTAAACAAAAAGATGTAGGTAAAAGGCAGGGCCAGTCAAGTCAGGGGGCTATGGGAGAAAGATCCTTTGACTTATTGAGAAACAAGCAGTTAGATCCCTGATGGCCATTATCAGGGCCTTGACTAATATTGAATCCACATTTGAAGTAGACACCAAGGGGTAACATTGGGCAAAATCATGGTGCTTTTTGGTACCTCCCCTCATGTACTGTTCAATCGCCCTATAGCAGCTCAGCTTCTCCCCTCTCATCAGCCAACCCCCAGCCACCACAACTTCCTCCTCTCAAGGAAGGCAGTTTCCCTGTGACGGGGTGAACTGTAATTCAAAAGGACATTCTCTCAGTACAGGGTAGAACTCTAATGTTGGAATTCCAGACACTACATGAGGAGTAGAAGTCAATGATTAGGCAGAAAGACCAATGACAAGTCATAATTTTTCCTAATTAAACCATAACCAAGATCGTCCAAGGTCGGCACAGGGGAGGCCCTGCACAGTGTGACCTCAAAGCCCAACCGTGTTCCTAAGAGTCACCATAAATTGTGCTCCTGAGGTTTTTGGATGGATAGGGGGTAGTTACTAATCAACTATCACACTATATTAACCTTAGTGGAGGAACATAGCTCCCTTGTTAATATTCTGATCCAAGCATGGCAAATACCCTTTCCCTTGTTCCCCTTAGGAACAAGGGAACACTTGAACAAGACTTTGAAGCCTGAGGGATGCTGAGAAGGAAAGTGTCAGAGCAGAACCCAAGCAGCACCTGCAGAAGGCTGCCCTCCCTGGCCCATGGCCTGTGCCTTCCTAGCTCTTGGCTGCCGTCCACGTGGCCCTTCCTAGCTTCTGGCCAGCACCCATGTGGCCCGCCTAGATCCTGGCTGGCATCTATGTGTCAGGCAGCAACTTGGCACCGCCCAGTGACACAAGTCTGATCATTTGCCCTCCTCAAAGTCCAGAGCCAAGAAAAACCCAAGGGAAAACAAAGACTCACCTTTGCAGGTCTCGTGTCCTAGCCGCTGAATTATTGGTGCCGGAGAGCTCACCTTCATCCCTGATGAGTCTCAGGAGGTCAAGCTGATCAGATAAGCAGAGCTCTGGGAATTCTGTCCCATAGGTACTTGGGTGCCATTTCATGGCTGCACCAACCTGTGACCATGTCGGGACATATATATACTACTTCTTGAGGCTGGTGAAACCCAAGTTCTAAATCTTATGCTTCATCCATAAAGCTGACACTACCAGAAGACTGGGAAGTTTTATTCTATAACCTTCCCTGCTACAGAAATCACTGAAAGCAGGTTTCACATACTTGACTTTATAGGATAATAATAGGCTTGAGAATATCACATCATCAGTCACCCACTTCATCATCTCTGAGAGCACTGAGGGTTGTAAAGGATTGATCCCTGGCCACAGGCTAAGTCAGGAGCAGCGAGTCAGCTGCTCCATTCCCCAGCATCTGAATATACACCGCAAACTCAATGCCCAGAACTTAGCAATGTTGTTGCCGGCTCCGGCTCTGGTTAATTAGAAGCCACGTGACCATAAATGGGTCTCTATGTATTTCACCATTTTCAGGGATGAAATGGAATCCCCCTCCCACTCAGAAAAGACATGAACCATCAGTTCTGCCTAGTCCCAGACCATTTGAGTCTGAATATTTGCTTTAACCTCACAGATAGCATGCTGCTCCCACCATGGAGCAAAAAGCAGCCTCAATCATAGCCCTTCTCTCCTCTGTCTGCTCTGTGGCTGCTGGGACTGATTCCTCTCATCTGCCTCACAGCCACTCACCCACACGGTATACACGCAGCAAGTTCCTGTCACACAGAATTAAATTTAATCAAACCTGGGGCAGTGGTTTCATAATTTTATTTGAATATAAATATGCACCCATTTATCCATCTACTTACTTAGCATTGATGGCATGTGTGGCACTATGTAGACATGGGATAGAGCAGTGAGCAAGATGCACCAAATGCCTGCCCTCTCAGAGACTGCTGTCCAGCGACCCAGGAAAAACCACTAGCAAGTATCATGTGCATATTAGTTCATAGGCTCGAGACATTGCCAAGGGAGCAAGAATGGGCTGAAGAGCAAAGGTGCCTAGGACTGAATCTTGAGGAGATCTGACAGTTAAAGGTTGGGTAAAGAAGAGTCAAGAAAGAACAGCCAGAAAGGCAAGGAAAGAGCCAGGAAAGCAAGTCATGATGGAGACCAAAAAAGGAGAGCTTCAAGGTGAAGCCTCACAGAGGCCATTCATGAGCTTCATAAGAACCATTTCAATGGCAGGCTGGGACAGAGACTATGTTGGAGTGGGTCGAAAGTGATTGCACACAAACTCAGTCAAGAAATTTAGCTGTGAAAGTGGGGAGAAAGGATGGTAGCCGGAGGGAGGTAGGAGGTGGTTCAGGAAGATTGTTCTCTAAGTTAGGGAAAACTAGGTCATTATAGAGATTTAGCTCAGGACCTGAGAGATAATAGCTTAGAGTGGCCAAGTGTGGCCAAGAGCCCCACTCATCAGTAATGCAGCAGAGGGACCATGAGGTTGATAAGTGGCAGCAATGAAGAAGAGGTAAAGATGGCTAACTAGGTAACACAGCTTCAAAGGAGGAAGGGTTTTATAAGACACAGGAGAATCAAAGTTTGGAAGTGACAATAAGGAATAAGAAGGACCTCAAATCTACCCTCTAGCTCTGCAAAGTCCTACCAGGAGCTTTAAAAAAAAAAAAAAACACTAAAAAGCCAAATAGAAATGATCTCTTAACTATCCAGGCTACTCTGCTTGCCTCCAAGAACCAAACAATCAAGACCTGGCCCTATAGCCTGTACCTGATTTTGACTATATCTCTGCAGCCCCAGGAATAGAGAGGATATTTGCAGGAATAAGTTGCACCAATATTCTTAACTTTACCCTTGCATCAAACATTTTGCAAGAATTTCTTGAAGTCTTGGTCTATTCAGGGCACTAGAGGGAAACAAAGTTTAAAAAGGCATGACCCCTGTCTTCAGGGAGCTAATTGACTAGTAGTAAAGAAGAAAACCATAAATAAAATGCTCAAACTCAAGACTGAAAGACTGTGGGAAGCCAAAGGACAGAGCAGTGTGAAGTGATCTGATGTGATGTGATGAAGGAAAACTCTCTGGAGGAAGTGGAGCTTGAAGAGAGAGCTTAAAGATCACTCAAAACCCTTGGGGTATAGATAGCCAAGATGTGGGACTGGAAGGGTATTGCAAATAGAAGGGAGAGCAGGGACAAGGACAAGGTGCCTGGTGATTTTAAGGAACTAAAGAGGCAATGAGGAAGTGAGGTAGAAACAACTAAGACTGATTTTGGAAGGAGTAAGGACAGGACTTGCTTTCTGCTTGAATGTGGAATGTGAGGGAGACAAAAGAGACAGACTTTGAAAAAATAATCTATGGAGAACACAGCCCCTCCAGATGCCTGGTTTATGCTGGCCTGAAGAGACTCTGATGCTATCATTTCTTGTTTTCTCAGAACAAGTACCAGGGCTTCATCTTCGACATAGTGACCAGACAAGCTTTCGATGTCGTTATCATGGTTCTCATTTGCCTCAACATGGTCACCATGATGGTGGAAACTGATGTGCAGAGTGAAGAAAAGACAAGAGTCCTTAACAGAATCAACCAGTTCTTTGTGGCCGTCTTCACAGCTGAGTGTGTCCTGAAGATGTTCGCCTTGAGGCATTACTATTTCACCAATGGCTGGAACGTGTTTGACTTCATTGTCGTGATCCTTTCCATTGGGAGTAAGTGGCATTGCAACTGGGGGGGGGGGGCCCAGTTCTGCTTGGGGTTCTTTTGGCTTCTCTTCTCAAAACCAGGACAGCTACAAATTGTCTTAGACACATGTTATACATTAGAGGAGGCCCATATTTACTGCCTTCAAAGAATGGCAGGCTTTCAATACTCCTAGGCCTCTCAGTGAAATGGAGAGGTCCTGTGGGCCTTCTAGTTGCTCTTGCAAAGTGTTTTCAGGTGCCTACTGTGTGCACAGCCCATCACCAAAACTCTGGGGCTAAGAGGGAATGATCACTCCTCCACAGAACCTAAGATGATAAAGCTCCCCGTGGGCCTACTCTTCTAAGCGGAGGGTGAGGGGGGCATTGTGAGATGAATCATAAGATACTTCCTGGAAACAGTGAAAAAAAGACTAGGACGAGACTATTCAAAGGAGATTCTTAAATCAGGAGTCTAGAATAAAATCTCCCTACTGTCCACTTCGAGAATACAAGTAATAGAGAAGTCAAGGGGTCAACACCAAGAGATCAGTGCTGTAATGGCCTAGTCTGGGTGTAAGTTAATAATGGACCCAGTGTCTGGGGATCAATGGTGTTCAGAGAAAATAAAGAGACTCAGGCTAAAGTGGGAATGGACTACCATAGTCTAGTGCTTGCTGAGTTCTGACCACTGGGCTAGGCTGCATGGACCTTCCCAATAGCCTTGAGAAGGAGTGTTCCTCACTTTATACTTCCAAATTTAGTCCTAGAGATTAAGAAAGTTATGCAAGGTCACACAGTTTGTAAAGGAAAGAGCTGAGTTTAGACCAGGCTAGTGTTCTCCTGCTGAACTTCCTCCCACCAACATCCACTGGACTCTCCTTGGTGTTCTGTGGTTTAGCCAAAGTTTGGCCCTATAAAGGCCAAATCCCAGTGCACCAGCTTTGCTTTGCATTATAAATATATCCTGAACTGTTATATGATGACATGCTTGCTTTTCATGTCAAGGCATATCTATAAATTTAATTTTCCATTGATTTACCATCAAGAGCTAATAGCATCTAAATACAACTTGGCAGCACTTAATCAATCACTCCACCCTGCTGCTGCAACCCAGACTTGGATTGTGTTAATTTGGAGGGTTTAAATTTATTTTTGTTTTGTTTTATTTTCCTGTTGCTGCTGGTGTTTGTTTGTTTGTTTGTGGGCAGTTTGCATTGTTTGTCTGCCTTCCAAAATGAGACACTCTCAAGGCCATTTTGATGCTCTATTAGAGAAGAGATCTTGTTTTTGTGACTTCCCATATCAGTACCCTAGAAATAAAATATGCTCAACATACTCAGTTTCACAAAGGAGATATTTTATCTACTAGTTCCTGTACAGCACCACTGGGGAGAAGTCACCCACTGGGATAGCTAGACAGGAGAAGAACCCACCTGTCCCTCCTTCTGTCCTTCCTCCCTCTCCCCCTCTCTTTCCTCCCACCAGCAATTGAGTATTAATTGTTATAAGTATAAAAGCTCATTCTCCTTGAAGTGGACTGGTTGGCTGGCATGATCTTAGTAAATTGTAAGGACACATAATGTACCCCCACAGTATAAAATGTCCCAGTTATATATGAGAAAGGGACTTTCATAAAGATTTTGTAATCCAAAATTGTAACGATTTCCTAAGTTTCTTCCCATTTCCGTCCTCCTCCCAACACAATACTGTGACCGCCCATATTCATGTGACAAAAGGTAAGAAGGGCAAGAAAACCAAGGGAAGCATGACAAGGAGGACTTGCCACCACACTCCTCACCACTGCCCCGCGAGTCCCATCTTACCTCATCTCTGGTGGTCCCAACAGGCCTCCACAACAACAGTGACCAAGCTCCACAAATCCTCAAGTTAGAGATCCTATAGGGAGACACATACACACTCCATCTCTCTAACCTTGCTCATAGTTGGGCCGGAGCGCTCTAAATGGCCCCAAACAAGCCCATCTACAGGCCCTAACATTGAGTTCAAGCACAGCTTGAAACGAAAGAAACAAATAGAAGCCATTATGCAGACAGCTGGCCATTCAAAGCCGTTCTGCTTTAGCTGTCAGCAAGTTGCCCAACTCCTCAGCCCCCCTTATAATTAATACCAGGCTCTGTACAATTATCCACAGGACCATGTGCCAGGAACTGAGTCAATCTTCACAGCAGGAGATAGGGAGATGAATCACAGGGGGGTCCTGGCCTTCACAGAGCCCAAGACCAGGATGGAGGAGAAGGCACAGCCCAAATGCTGAATTCCCAGGGAGGAGCAGGGACTGTGTTGTGAAGGTAACAGTCAAGGCCTGGGCAAGGTGGGCTGCAGTGCGGTCACTTCCAGATGCACTGGACAGCAGGAGGTAGGGTTTTAACCATGGAGGCTGACCAAGGAGAAAATATTCCGGGTGGAGGGCAAGGTAAGAACATGGTGGCAAGGGTGAGACTTACTTAAAGGGGAAAGGATTTATGCAGTTAATGCTTACTGAGCTCCTACTTTGTGCCAACCACCCTGCCCGCCTCAGAGGGCCCGGGCCCTGTGAATACAGATGCTCATGAGGAGGTTCATTCACAGCAGAGATGAGGGAGTGTGATCACAGCCAACTTGTCAGGGCTCATGGTTGCAAGCTCTAATTAGATCGTTTCCCCCTCTTTTTAGGCCTGGTGTTTTCTGCAATCCTTAAGTCACTTGAAAATTACTTCTCCCCAACGCTCTTCAGAGTCATCCGCCTGGCCCGCATCGGCCGCATCCTCAGACTGATCCGAGCAGCCAAGGGGATCCGCACGCTGCTCTTCGCCCTCATGATGTCCCTGCCGGCCCTCTTCAACATCGGGCTGCTGCTCTTCCTCGTCATGTTCATCTACTCCATCTTCGGCATGGCCAGCTTTGCCCACGTAAGGGAGGAGGCTGGCATTGACGACATGTTCAACTTCCAGACCTTTGCCAACAGCATGCTGTGTCTGTTCCAGATCACCACGTCAGCGGGCTGGGATGGCCTCCTCAGCCCCATCCTCAACACGGGGCCCCCCTACTGTGATCCCAATCTGCCCAACAGCACTAGCACCAAAGGGAACTGCGGGAACCCAGCTGTGGGCATCATCTTCTTCACCACCTATATCATTATCTCCTTCCTCATCGTGGTCAACATGTACATTGCAGTGATTCTGGAGAACTTCAATGTGGCCACAGAGGAGAGCACTGAACCTCTGAGTGAGGATGATTTTGACATGTTCTATGAGACCTGGGAGAAGTTTGACCCAGAAGCCACCCAATTTATTACCTTTTCTGCCCTCTCAGACTTTGCAGACACCCTCACCGGTCCCCTGCGAATCCCAAAACCCAATCGGAATATATTGATCCAGATGGACCTGCCCTTGGTCCCTGGAGATAAGATTCACTGTTTGGACATCCTTTTTGCCTTTACCAAGAATGTTCTGGGAGAATCTGGGGAATTGGATTCTCTGAAGGCAAATATGGAGGAGAAGTTTATGGCAACGAATCTTTCAAAAGCATCCTATGAGCCAATAGCAACCACGCTTCGATGGAAACAAGAAGACATTTCAGCCACTGTCATTCAAAAAGCCTATCGGAGCTACGTGCTGCACCGCTCCATAACGGCCTCCAACCCCCCAGGCATTCCCAGGGCTGAGGAGGAGGCCATATCACCCACGGATGAAACCTTTGTTGCATTTATGGCAAATGAAAATGGTGTGCTGCCAGGAAAATCTGTAACTGCTTCTGCTACATCTTTCCCCCCATCTTATGACAGTGTCACAAGAGGCCTTAGTGATCAAGTCAACATGAGCACCTCTAGCTCGATGCAGAACCAGGATGAAGATACCAATACGAAAGTAGCTACACCTGGGTCCCAGTGAGGATATTTCAGCATGGACATATCCAGTTCTGATGTAACCTTCTACTCCATAATAACTCTTTCCCACTACAGGTGGCAACCAGCTACCACCTCATCAATGCATGCCACTGGTCACCATGGAACTGGGCAGGGAGCACCACTGGTGCCCACCTTTGGAGAAGCCCCACACACTAACAGGAGTCAGAATCCAAGGGCATCTCCACTGTGACTTCCCTTTTGCTTTCCAGTATCAGTTGACAGTTCCCCTTACCTCCAGAAAATGTCCCTGGCCCTTTAATTTTGACCTAGACCAGACCTTACATTTACCAAGACGAACTTCTCAGCACTAGAACTTCCAAAGATATACAGCAAGGATGTTGCTAAAGGTTCAAGGTAGTCCTCTGTGAAATGCCACATAGAGACTGGCAGTGTTACTTAGGATTTTGCATGACTGCATGTTGAGAGCTGCCAGATAATTGCTCCATTCTGGGGTCACGCCTATGGTCTGTGTCATGCAAGACCTTTGAGGTATTCATTAAAATTAATATTTTTAAAGTTATGTCCAGACCAATGTTATATCTTAAAGCATCTTTTTTTTAAATTATATGATATTAACACATATTTCAAATCACTTCTCCTTCACTTTCAGGATTGCTGACATTTTCAAGTTTGAGTCTGAGGCTGAGAGGCGCAGGGAAGAGCACTGTCTTGGAGCTTGTTCTGATCCTAAATCCTACTGATTGACTAGCTGACTTTGGCCAAGCTCTTTGCCCTCTGAACCTTGGTGTCTCTACTTGTAAACTTGGTGGGAGCGCATGGGGCAAGAGGGTGGGGGATATACATATTCTCTCTAAAGCCCTTGCATCTCTTGCAGAACTCAATGGTGCCATATCCCAGTTTAGAGGAGGGATACCTTACCTTTTGAAGCTGCAATGGCCAGACCTTTTTTCTGTGCCGCTAAAGAGACAGCTTTTGGATACATTCCAGATACTTTTTCACATTTCATAATCTTTAAGGACAAAGGTTTTTGCATTCCCCCTTGGACCAGGACTCTAAAATTAATATAATCAAAAGAAAAGGGATATTTTGAGAAAGATGATCTGAAAGATGAAAGTTGTGAACAATACTTTATTTAATTCATACCTAATAACAACCGTTATTAGGTATCTATTTTACAATAGGCACCGCTCTAAGCCCAAGAGATAATGGGAGTTAAGCCCCAAAGGGTTAATTGGATTTATGTAATGAAGTAAAGGTTGTCAGAGGAAAAATTTTAAACCAAAGACATGTGGCAGGTCTTACGGTGGAGGAGTTTGTATGACAACATAGGGTATATTTGGTGAGACATAGTACAATCCTAATGTCAGTCATGATCTTTTTTTTTTTTTTAAGATTTATTTATACAAGAACTGGGGTACAGGCTAGATGCGTGGGAGGGTGAAAGGATTCACCAGAGACAGAGCCAGGAACAGAACAGGCAGACTGATGAAATACACTGCTGAGGGGAGCAGCGGGCGGGACAGGAGAGGTCTGCTTTGCCTTGTGGGATTCTTGCCGGCCGGCTGGGATGGAACCCGTGCTGCAGAGGCTGCGGACAGCTTCACAGTGCAGGACTCAACTGCCTGCGCCACCAGGGAGGCCCTACTCATGATCTTCTATTAACTCTTGGGACTGTCCCTCCTATAATCACAATGATAAGGTAAGTTTGTTGATACCTATTTGATCATTTTGTAAGATTTTCCATTTAAACAACTATAAGACCTAGAGGCTAGTCCACTTTCTATGCCTTATGATACAGATTTTCTGGGATCTTACTATCCTTTTTCTGTCACTGTTGACTCATCAGAGATCAAAGAGTCTTACAAGAAACTTGTTGGGGGTTGCCAACACCCACAAATGTGGAGAATAAGACAATGATGGGATTTCTGAGGGCACAGGCTATCCCAGTACAAATCAGCTGTTCTCTGGATGCCTGGTTTGTGTCTTAAAGACGAGTTAGACTTTTCCTCCCAAGCCCCGTGAAGTAGATACTGACTGCACAGTTTCTTCAACCTCTAAATTCCATGTAGTCAATGAAAATGCCATCTGACAGAATGCCAGCCCAAGTGCTTATAAGACAACTGGGGCAAGAGAGAATTTTAGGAGACTGGTTTATCATTAACAGAGTGAAAAGGCAAACTATAGAGTGGAAACTAATATTTAAAGTACTTTTACACTGTCATCGGGAAGAAATAAACATGGCCCAACATCAGACTAGTTTTATAAAGTAGATGATATTCTTATTATATTTTCTCCTTGTTTTGAATCAAATTGTATCTCCCCCTCCCCAAAAGAGATATACTGAAGTCCTAACCAGGCATCTGTAAATGTGCTTTTATTTGGAAATAAAGCTTTGATATGCTTAAGACAAAGGTAAAGTCTCTTTCCTAAGTCCTGGGGATGTAAAATTAATAAGGCAAATCCTCAGTCTGCAGCTGAACACTGACTAAAGGTTTAAAAAGATGTAATTCCCAGGTTTCTAACATTGATGGCCTAGGTTGTTTGCATCATCCTTCCCTTTGAAAAACATGAAAATATTGGCTAAATACCAGACAACATTGACATGAAAATTGGGAGGATGTGGGTAGGATAAGAATTCTAAAGCTGTATTTTTATTCAGGAAGAAAGTAAAAGTTTTTATTATTATTAGATTTTAATAAGTTAAGAATGCATGACTTAATTACTTGTATTGCCACTACACAAACAGTTTATAATTTCCAGAGGGAAAATATGCTAACAAATAATTAAGCAATCAAAAAAGTAAGGTAAGAAAGGGGACGAAAGTGAAATATATAACAAGAAGAGCAAGCTGAAAAGACACAGTAATGTAATATATTTGAACACAAATATATCAACAATTATATTAAATGTAAGTGGGCTAAGTAATCTGAAAAATAAAGATTATCAGGCAGAATTTTTAAATACAAGTACAAGATAGTTATACAGAGACAGACCTACAACTTAAGATTATGAAAATAGGTAAAAAATGAAAGAACAGAAAAAGATACACCATATAAATCAAGCAGTTACAAAATATGTGTTCTTTTCAAGTACTTACAGAATATTTCCAAAAAATAGTTCACACACCCAATAATATAAAATTCAAAAAGTTTTCAAAGGATTAAAAGCATATAATGTAGGTTTTCAGAGCACAATAAAATTGAGCTGAGAATCAGTAACAAGAAGTAACAGACCAAAGCATACACAGGCACTTGTAGATGGCACAGATGCATAGCACAGCAGAGAAGAGAAGATGACATTGGGACAAGTGGTGCTGGGACAATTGTGTTTGGTTTTTTTTTTTAAGATTTATTTATTTATTTATACAAGCACTGGGTACAGTCAGAAGCATGGGAGGGTGAGAGAATTCACCAGAGCCAGTAGGGGGAACAGAACAGGCAGACTGATGAAGTACACTGCTGAGGCGAGCAGCGGCCGTGGCAGGAGAGGTCTGCGCGCCATGTGGGACCCTCGCCGGCGGCCAGGGATCTAACCGGTGCTGCAGAGGCTGCGGGCAACTTCGCAGGCAGCACTCAACCGCTGCGCCACCAGGGGAGGCCCACAATTGTGTTTTCATAAGAGAAAGAAATTAAATGGGACCCCCCCATCCCTAAAACCATACTTTAAAATCAATTCCAAACTTGAAATGCAATTCTAAATGTGAAAGGCAAATCTAAAGTCCTTTAGAATACAATTAAGGAAAGTATCTATGAGGTCATGGAATAAAGACTGATAAATTTGATGATATTAAAATTTAGGACATCAGTTCATTAAAATATATCATTAATAGAGTGAAAAGGCAAACTATAGAGTGGAAGCAAATTTGTAAAGCATTTACATCCAATTAAAGTCCAATATTCCAAAGGAGAGCTTTATTAACTTCTACAAATCAATATAAAATGAGGGCACAGTAGAAAAAAATGGCACGAGACCTGAAAAGCCACTTTGCAAAAGAGGAAATCTGAATAACCAATCAACCTAGAAAAGGGTGCACAAACCTAAGTGAAATGCAAATTAAAACCATAGTCTAAGACCACTACACACCTATCAGATCCACAGAGCTTTCAGAGTCTAACAAATACCAAATGTTGGCAAAATGTAGAGCAACAGCATCTCGTGCACTGCTGGAGAATGCAAATAGGCACAACTACTTTGGAAAACAATCTAGCTTTACTAGAAGAGTTAGGGACACAAACACACATGAGCCAGGTTTTCCTCTCGCAGATGTGAAGTCTGGAGAAATCTGTGCACAGACCAGTAGACACAGACAAGAATTCTTATCAACTTTGTTCATAATAGACCCAAACTAGAAGCAACCCAATGAACATCAGCTGTAGAATGTATTAATAATATGTGCTGTGACTTTTTTAAAATTGAGGTAACATTAGTTTACAATTCTATGTAGGTTTCAGGGGTGCAGTTTCTCACCTCAGCAATGACATTTCACCACCACCACCACTAAATACCCAGTCATCATCCACCTCCCTTTCCCCTCTGCCTTCTCATAACCACCACATTGTTGTCAAAGTCTAAGGGTTTGTTTTTGTTGCATTTTTGTTGGTTTTTGCTTTTCTTTATATTCCACAATGAGTGAAATCATGTGTTCTTTGTCTTTTACTTTCTGACTTATTTTTTTAGCATATCCCTCAAAAGTCCATCCATGTTACCAAAGTGGTTTCTTTTTTTGTGACCAAGTAATATTCTATTATGTATATATGTATCATATCACCTTAGCCCACTTATCCATTGTCAGGCACTGGGGTTGTTTCTATAACTTGGCATGCCTCTATGAATATAGGTGTGCATATATCTTTTTTAATTAGTGCTTTCATGTTCTTTGGGTAAATACCCAGAAGTAAATTTACTGGACCAGAGGGTAGTTTTATTTCTAATTTTTTGAGGAATTTCCATGCTGTTTTCCAAAGTGGAAAACTTCAGAAATTTACATCCACATGTAGTGTATTTTTTAATGTAATTTTATGCAGTAATGAGAATGGATGCTGTTTAGCCTCATACAAGTCTAAAGATGAATCTTAGAAGGATAATATTAAGTGAAAGAAGTCAAACACAAAACAATATATACTACATGATCACATGAGGTTAAAACAGGCAAAATTAAATGTGTTATTAAGGAATGCATGAGCTGGTTATCATAACCAGGACAAAGGCTATCAGTAGGGAGGAGGCATGTGTGTCTGGGTCTATGGCAATGTTGTAATTCCTCACCCAGGTGGTTCTCCTTCTGAGTGTTGTGTTTATACCTAAGTGTTGAGTTCAACATATACGTCTAATGCATTTTTCAGTATGTTGCACATAGAATTTTTTAAAATTTCAATGACTTAGCTTCGATTCTCCTCTTTTGCACAAGTAATTACTATTTGCCACTCTGAACCGTGCCTTAGCATTTATATCTAGGACCTGAGCTAACTTGGAAACGGAGGAGTAGAAGTTCAATGCAGGCAACTGAGAAGGAAATTCTAAAGAAAGGGAATATCACCTGTGAAAGTCACCGTAGGTAGCGAGTGGGCAGAGAGTTTGAGAAAATGTAATCAAACTATTGTAAAGCAATAGTTGGCAGGCAGTGGGGGAGTGAGTAGAATGTGATCACAAAGGGGACAAAGTTTGTATCCCTCTGGATTCCTCTGGATGGTATCATGGATGCTAACTAAGCATTTAACAACCTGCCAGGCACAGGAAACAAGCAGCACTAACCATGTTGCTACAGCAGGCTGCTGAACGCTCCTCGCTGTGCTGGCCGCTAACCCTCTAGTTACTGGATTGTGGAGAAATTGAGAGGAATGTCCCAAAAGAGAGATTAGAGGGGCACAAAGTTGGAGAGCACTTGAGGCAACACTCTTTACCAATTGGTACAGAAATATTTCACTGTATCTCTACATACTCACCTGGTATTAGTCCAGATTGCAAGTGATAGAAATCCAACCCAAATTCTTTCATGGGAAAAAGGAGAGAAAATACTTTCATCTATTAAACAGGAGCCCAGAGATGCTGCTGGATTCAGGCTTAACTGAATTCAAGAGCTCAAATGACGCCATTGGGATCCCATCTCTCTCCCTCTTGGCTCTGCTTTCTCTGAATTGGCTCCATTCTCAGGCAGGCTCACTCAGTGTAGTGGTAAAGATTACACTGCAAATCCTCTACATCTGTGATCTCAGAGGGGATACATGACTCTTTGCCAATAATTCCAGTAAAATTCCCAGGGAGTGCCACGGACCCATGTCATATTCCGTTCCCTAAGTAACAGATCACAGAGTCCTGGGCATTGCTGGACCAGGGCTCACCCTGAGAGCCAGAACTAAGCTGAGAGCAGTCCCCAAGTAGAAAAGTTCTGTGATCATAAGAAGAGGGAACACATCCTAAGAAGAGACTAAAACAACAGCTGCCCACCTCCTGCCCCTGAGCTGCCCGATAGCCACACACGCTCTTCTTTCCAGACATGGCTTATCAAAAATTCCGAACGTAGTTAGCCCACATAAAACTGCACTCCCCACCCACTTCCCTAGCTCTTTCGATTGGAGTGATATCACCTTTGTCCCTCAAGAAGTGCTGAGACAGGCTGTTTTGGGGAAAGCATGGGAGTATTTGGGGTCATAGTTAGGCAGCAAGCTTCTTCCAGCTTCCATTCTACCCCCTTCTATGTGTTTCCAATCAGTGATGTGCTGATAAACATTTGACAATTAGCTCTTTATTAGGAAAAAAATTCCCTGATTTGTTTGTTTCTGATTTATCTGGTATAAATAATCCCACATGGCCCAATGGAGGCAGAATTGGGAAGAAATGAGCACAGATGACTTGAACCAGTCTGAGCAGCCTCCAGCACACCACTGTTTCCCACCCCCTGCCTTTTCTCCATCAATATTAGCTTGGGACAAAAGTTTGATTTCTTCCCCCAACTTCTAAGTCACAAGATTGTAAGACTGCAGGTTACTGATCACAGAAACAGACTCCCTTTTCTGTTTTCATATGGGCCAATTTGGACAAAGTTTGTCTTTCTTTGTGTGACTTTATTAAACCTGCAAGAAGTAGCCCACGTCTTTCCAAATCCTTGAGTTTTTCTATCAAGGTCTTTAAACTCCTGCTGCAAGAAGCAGATGTCTGAGCCTCCAGGCGCCGCAGGCTACAACTAAAGCATAATAGAAATTTCCAGGTTCAGACCTGGTGAGGGAAGAGTGTCAGGGTCTCACTCCACCTCAAACCTGGCCAAAGCCACACTTCAAGGTTTATTAATAGTAACATCCATCTCCAGGTATCCATTTCAATGTCAGTCAGAGTTGATTACAAGCTATCAGAAACCAGTTTCAACAACAAAAAAGAATTTACTGAAAGGCAGTGGGGAAGCACAGACTAGAAGTAAATCAGTGAGGCAGCAGCCAAAGCTGGGTAGGTTCCTGGGCCACAGGCACCAACACACAAGCTCTTTGTGGAGCCTGAACCAATCAGTTCCAGCTTTTCTCCAACTTTTTGTGGGTGTCCAGTCAAGTTTCAAACTGCAAAGAAAGGGCATTTGATTGGCCAACCCCCAGCAAGGGATGGGAAGAGCATTTTGATTGAAAGCTTCAGCAAGCTCCCTGTCAAGTACCACCTCCCACCCCTTCTACCACCAACAACTCTGCCTTAAAAGTTCAGGCACTGCTACCAGAAGGAAGAGGAGGCTAGATGGGCACAAGAGATAAAAGTTTCCAGCTGGATTCATGTTTTATGAAGTTCCCTCTGGCCACAATAACCAAATAAGGAGAAACTGAGTTTGGGGGCAGAGAAATTAGGGAGTAAATTGGGCCAAATGGGAAACTGAAGTTTGGGTGTTTTTAGTCTGTCAAGCAAACCGACTAAAAGTAACTAAGTCTTCTCAGATAGACACCCCTTGCCCCAGAATGGACTAGGATGCCGCTCCAGTCTTCAGTGCAATGACAGATCCCAGTCTTTCTCCTGCTAAAAATGCTCCCCAGGACCCTAATATCTGCACCACACCCTTTCTCATATATTCCTCTAAGTGGAAATATGTTTGACGTGTGTTCTCCTCAGGAGCCCCAGATGAATCAGCATCCAAGTGATTCAGGGAGAGAAAGGCAGGAATTGCCTGTGGGCATCGAGTCTGAACCAAGAAAGTTCACGTCTACTGCTGATGCTTTAAAACGCCATTTTTTTTTAAAGATTTATTTTTTATTTATTTATACAAGCGGTGGGTACAGTCAGAAGCACGGGAGGGTGAGAGGATTCACCAGAGCCAGAGCGGGGAGCAGAACAGTCAGACTGACGAAGTACACTGCTGAGGGGAGCAGCGGGCGGCAGGAGAGGTCTGCGCACCATGTGGGACCCCCCTCCGGTGGCCAGGGAGCAGCCGGGATCGAACTGGTGCTGCAGAAGATGCTGGCAGCTTTGCAACCCAGCGCTCAACTGCTTCACCACCGGGGAGGCCGTAAAACACCATTTCTAACAGTAGAACCAATCACAACATCAAAACTTGGTCAAGGGGATTCATTGTGCAAAGATGACAAATTCGAAAGGGTGTGCATGAAAAGGACTCCTATTTCTTCCTGACCAGATCTGAGTTAATTGATTAGTAGGAACGGGGCTGCTCCTGCTTACAGATATAATCACATTAGAGAGCACAATAAAGGCAAGTGTGCGTGTGCCTGCTGAGTGATGAGGTTGCTTGTAGCTAGAACAGGGAGCTTCAGAATCACTTGGGAGCTGAACATGTCAGCAAAGATCCACACGGAAACACTCCACTCATCAGCTGAGCAGTTTGGCGCTCGACACCTGGCTCTGGAAGAGAGCAGGAGCTTCTGATTGGACTCCAGACCTGTGTCACTCACACAGCCCGACTGCTCTGGGCCCTTCCCTTTCCTGCCCTGCCAAACCCATGGAGGGTGTTTACTACAGATAAAAATGCTTGGCAGAGGGCCTCCCTGGTGGCACAAGGGGTTAAGCACAGGGGTTAAGTGTCCCCTAGATTTCAAAGTCACCCCTCCTCGCTGCTGTCTCCAACACCTCTTGGCCACCTCCACCTGAGTGCCCCCAAGTCACCCCAATTTATTCTGCCTTCTCCAGCCAGTCTCCAGTGCTCCCTGCCCTTATTCAGCACTATGAAGCTATTGCCAGCCCCTGCAGCATGAGTTCCATCCCAGGCCAGGGGGGTCACCCACATGGCACAGCAGACCTCTCCTGTCTCTCCCACTGCTCCCTGCAGCAGTGTATTTCGGTAGATCTGCCTGTTCTGTTCCCCACTCTGCCTCTGGTGAATCCTCTCACTCCTTGCACCTCTGGCCTGTACCCCAGTTCTTGTTTGCATATAAATAAATCTTCTTTAAAAATGCTTTGTAAAGATTAAGGGAGAAAAAGAGCTTTGTGATGGTATTTTATTAAGACCAATGTGAGGTTCTTAGGCAGGTATGGGATGTGCAGGTGAATAAGTCTCACTTGGCAATGGTATGTAAAAATTATATTTAGTAATATTTTGTTGCAGCTTGGTCCAAGTTCAAGTAATAGTGGCACCAATAGGTCCACTGACCACTCTGTGGTTACTGAGGCTAGACCTGCATAGTACAATAGAGTCAGTAGTAACTACATGTGTCTAGTTACATTTAAATTCCCGTCATCATCACTGCAAGTTTTATTAGACAGTGCTGTTCTAGACCAGAGGTTGGCAAACCATGACTTGTGAGTTAACTCTCTTGTAGCCTTTTGCCTTTTTGAAGGGTACAGAAGGAGGAAGAGCAGAAGGAAAAGGGTGAGACAACAACTAACTGGTCCCCAAAACCTAAAACATTTAGCGTGTGGCCTTTTACAGAAAACGTTGGCTGACCCCTGCAATCACAATGGCTCACTTGGCAACAGGCGGAATCCCCACATTGGCTCTCTAACATGTGGCAATCAGGCCCTTATTATGGAAAGGGCCAAGTAGAAGCTTTTTGAACTTGCTAGGTTTTTCAGGAGCTATAACTAAAAGCGGTATCTACACCTGGGGGGATTCCAGAGCTGGTCCCACCAACAAAGACTTTAAAGATGCGGAGGCCCTGAACTCTAGCACATTCACTGAAGTCCTGGTTTCACCTATGTGGGAGGCAGATGTGTATTAGAAAATGACTATGAAGCTCTGCAACCCTGATGAGGTGGAGACTCTAATTGCAGCTGGTATTTCAGATAAAGTTTCTTAATATTTTTTTTAATATATTTTTTTATAGAGGCATGTTTATTTATTTATTTATTTATTTATTTATTATATTTGTTTGTTTGTTTTGTTTATACATGCACTGGGTACAGTCAGAAGCGCGGGAGGGTGAGAGAATTCACCAGAGCCAGAGCGGGGAGCAGAGCAGGCAGAAGGACTGAAGTACACTGCTGAGGGGAGCAGCGGGTGGCAGGAGAGGTCTGCGCACCATGTGGGATCCTCCTCCGGTGGCCGGGGAGCAGCCGGGGAGCAGCCGGGGATCGAACCGGCGCCGCAGAGGCCGCGGGCAGCTTCGCAACCCAGCGCTCAACCGCTGCGCCACCGGGGAGGCCCTCAGATAAAGTTTCTTTACTGGCAAAAACCATCATAGCCTCATATACCCATACATAGTTATTGACCTTTCAGATATTTTTCCTCCATATCAATTTGCAAACATCCCCAGAAGCAGCTTACTTTCACCTGGCGTGCCTAACAATACGCCTGCATGGTTTAGCCACAGGGCTATGTGTACAAACTCTGTTGCAACCAAATCTTCATCAGGCTGATGTTCTACATAGCACGTTTCACTCTAGATATTACACTGATTGGATCTGATGAGTAAGAAATAGCAAGTTCTTTAGTTGCCTTAGTAAGGTGTGAACCAGAGGCTGGGAGATAAAACTTATTAAAATGCAAGGGCAAGTAACTTCTATCAAGTTTCCAAGGCATCTGCCGCAATGTTGAGATCTTCCCTCCAAAGCACTCAGTGAAATGAAAGGTAAAAATTTTTAAATAGTTAACAATAGCAGCGATGTTAAATATTTGGTCTAAGTAGAATGAAATACATACAGGTACGTTGAAAACCATGTATCTTGGGTATGTAACAATGTACCCAAAACATAATGGGTGTAAAACAATTACTGTTCAACTTGCTCCTGAGTTTATGGGTCAGGATCTGGGCTTCCTTGCAGCATGGTGGTCAGGCTTTTTACATGGTGCTTGGCTTCCCAGGGAGCCTTCCCCAAAAAATGAAGTTAGAAGCTGCAGACCTCTTACATTACAGCCCTGTGGAGCGCCAAAGCATCACCCCATGGATCCCAGTGAGTCACAGGCAGCCCAGATGTCAGAGGAAGTAAAATATATTCCATCCCTTGAAGGGGTTTTGCAAAGAATTTGCAGATATTTTTAATCCACCACAATCAGGAGGCCACTGCAGTGGCTGCACATTGCTTTTTTATACCCATAAATCTAGTCACAAGACACTGAAGTGCTGTTAGAGGAAAGCCCAATATCTCCTGACCTCGCTTGCCAGGAGTAACAGCCAAAGCATTAGGAAGATGGTTTCTCCTGCTCAAATCTCATGCCAGCACATCTAGTTGGTGGAACCTACATCTACTCCAGAACTCTATCTGCAAAGGAGTCTGGGAAATCTTACTGCTAACCTGGCTTGGTACAGAAAGGTGCACTAGAAGGATGTGAAGGTGGCAACTGAGTGCCTGACCCACTGAGCCCATCACAGCAGTGACCGTTACAGCTAGAGCCCCCTGATGGCATCAGAAGCATCAAGAAGCTGCAATTTGCTCTTTGGTGTGGTCCAACAGGTGTGTACCAGGCAAGTGAGCCAGGTGGCTGATGGAGGCCAGCTCCCTGCCATCTACTCCCAGACACCTAGATGCAATTACAGAAGAAAGCATTCCTATAGGATGTTTATCTGCCTGGAAGTGGCATCCCAGCTTGGACCTGGGAATTGGAGGTAAAGGAAAAATAGCTGATATCTAGACCCTGGGAATGGCTGAAAGCCATGCAGTGGAGACTTCTGAAAGAACAAAAGCCTTGCCAGTGTTCACCCTTAGCTTTCCCTGAAAAAAGTCCCTTGATAAAATTGTGACCCTCGTGTTGGCCAGGCTGAAGCCAAACTACTTGGAAGTGTGGTTGATCCGGTTCCCAACACTCCCTTCCCAGCATTGAGGCCCTAGGGATCCTATTCTCTGAGCCCTCAGAGACTCTCAGGCTGCCCCTATTCAGCAGCCAACCCCTGCCCAGCAGCCCCTAGGTGAATATCAGGGATGCCAGGTCCCCAGGCTCCCCCGGCCATGGCCGCTGCTACTCACAGACCTGGGCAGGTCAGCCCTGTCCTGGGCCCCCAGCCCCATGAGAGCAGTGAGGGGGCTGGAGTGGTTGCCGGCTCTCCCTGGCAGGCCGGATGCGCCGCACTGTAGGGAGTGGGAGGCAGCTCTTCTGTTCTCCTGTCAGCGTTCACTTGAGAAGCCTGCACTCCAGCCCCTGCCTCTTATCTCTTCAGAAGCTGATACACTTGCAGACAAGAGGCAGCTTTTGTCAGTTGCTGCCAGTTCTGAGCATTTTCTGGCCCGAAGCACTGACTTCCAATGGGGAAAAAAAAAAACAATTTTCCTACAAAGTCTTCTGAATCCTCTTGTCAGGTCTGGCACCTTTGTTCATCCGCCTCTCTCGGGAGCGTGCAGGGAGCGGGGTTTGGCATCCAGGGCCACCCAGAACTTGTGTCAGTGTTTGCCCACAGAGAGGAGGGAACTAGCCCCAGGCAGGGTTCCCCTGGGGTATGTGCAGATTGGGGTGCTTCCTTCCTTCATTACCATGGCATTCACCACTGCGACCATCACAGGCAGAACCCCCTGAGATTTCAGATCCCGAGCTTGTCGCTTGGAGATGGGGAAACTGAGTTACTCTGCCCAGAACTAGGGCTCCATGCATCGGAGCTGCTGACCCCACATCCGGGCTCTTTCTGTATCCATGATGTCTTTGTTTTTAGGAAGCTGAGAAGAAGGAGCAGGGGTTGGTGCTTGTGTGGCCAGGAGGCTCCCGGAGTGTGGGGTGGGGACGCCTTCACGGGCGCTCTCCCGGCTCCTCTCCCACCACCGCAGAGGGGGAAACATCTGCCCACAGCAGAACCAAAACACAGCCAGCAGCCTCTTGTCTCGGAGTCTCTGGCCTCTGTTTCTGGGCAACAAGAACCTCTAGTTCAAACTCATGGACAGAGCAGGGGAGCTTGAATACCTGAAGTCCACGGACTGCTCCAGCTGGTGGGGGCACAGATTAGCAGCTCTGACCACAGTCTCTTCCAGAAGCACATACACCTCTTGTTTCTCTCCTCTTGCACACCCACACAGTCACATTCCTGAAGGCAGCACCACTTCCCTTCAAAAAAGGTAAGATGCCGTCTTTTTCATTTTCAAATTATTTATTTACAATTTAATTTATATTCGGTAAACTCGTCCTTTTTGGTGGGCAGGTGCACGAGTTTTGACAATGCAGGGTCAGCACCACGGCTGAGACAGAACAGCTCCACCGCCCTCCCTCCACCGCCCCCCCACCCCTTCAGGAGAAACCCCCGCACATCACTCCACCCCCGCCCACTGGCAACCACTGATCTATTTCCTGTCCCTTTAATTTTGCTTTCTCCAGAATGTCATATAAATGGAATGATAACGTCTGTGTAACGTTTTGAGACTGGCTTCCTTCACCCAGCACACCACATTGGAGATTCGTCCATGTTATGTGTATCAATAAAAATGCTTCTAAAAGTCTAAAAATAAAACCAGTGAAAACTCAGGGCCCAGGGACAATGCCGTGTCGCAGGGTCTCCAGGCCTGGGCACAGCTCACCACCAGCTCCAAAACCAGCATCACCCTCCCAGCAATCAATGTATTTCTACCCTGATCTGCTTGCTCACCACACGCAGCCTGACCAGAGCACGGAATGCCCAGGCCTCCCACGTACGCCTACCTACTTCTGATTCTGGCCCCAGTTCACGTGACCATGTTGGGCGCTCCTGAGTCCTCATGGGGCTGCTCAGCCCTAATCCTACCTAGAAAACCTCAAATGTCTGCAGGGCCAGGCAGGGAATGTTAATGGACATAATGCAACAAAGGACGATGGGAACCAAACTGGAGAGCACATACCCAGCTAAAGACGGTCACAGTGTCACACGCTGCAGGCCATGGTGCCTGCCCCCTCCCCACACACACACTGACATCTGTGGGCTGCATTCAGGCAGGAAACTCTGGTTTGCAGTCTCTCAATCTCTGGCGTTAAACCTCTTCCTTGGCTCTGCACTGCTATGAGCTATGGCAGGATAACCTTGCCACCTGGCTTTGAAGGTGACAGGACTCAGGTGGCCACAGGTGCAGTGAACATGGGAAGCAGATTGCCCTATGTGGACTGGAGATACGTCTGTGGAATCTGTTTCCTGAAGGCAAAGCTGTCAGGCCAGCTGAGTGAAAGGGGTAATGTCTGGGAGTCCCTGCACCAGGCACAGCCGTCTGATGCTCCTTACTCCACAAAACCTCAAACCGGGAAGGTTCTTCAGGGTACAGAATCAGTCTTTGGGTCTTTCTTATACCCGCATCACATCCACCAAGAACACCTCCCCTGATATACACAACCAAGGGTAGGGGGGTGTTGTGGTGAGCTGCCCAGAACCCCTCTAATGAACGAGGTGCTATTGTCCCTTCACTTGCCTGCAGGGTGGCTGCCGATGGTGCACAGCCCCTTGGCTCAATGCCCTCTTCTGAGCATTGCCCTGGCCTCAAGGGTACTGCCTGCCCAAGGTCATGGCCCCTTGGCAGATCCGAGCCATCGCTGATGACAGCCTAGGGGAAAAGTAGAAAAGCTTGCTCACTGTCCCATGGCCTTGGTTTCAGACAGCTCCAGGGTCCTCTAGCTCCACAGCTTCCTGCAGCCTTGACAGAGGCCTTCGTTGCAACTGGGAATCATCTACTCTCTCTGCCCAGCCCCACTGCCCTTACAGCCTCACCCATGTTGTTCCCCAGTGCACACCCTGCATGCCAGTCTCCATCTTAGAGTCTTTCTCTGAAGAACCCAACTGAAGGCCAGGGCCTGAGGGTGAATAGGTTTTAGTATGATAGTGAAGTGTCCCATTTCTCAAACACTTTTCCAGATGTTATTTCATTTGATCCTCCCAATAACACAATGAGGGACGGGCACAGTCATCCCATTTTACATAGGAGCAGAGTCATGTCTGGAAAGGTGATGATCTAACCCAAGGCCATGACAGCAGTGACAAAGCGGATCTAAGTTTCCAACCCTCCAAGCCCTGCTCTCTAGTTACTACGATGGCCAGGCTGAGGCGTGAGAGAATTTTGTAAGGAGGAGATGGGCGTGGTGGAGGCAGGAGCATGCTGCCAGATCAGTGCTTCACAGGATCTGGGACACAATGCACACTCCTCGTCCTCAGCTTCCTGTCTCTTCTTCTCTCGACTCTCCAGCAGATGGCAGTCAGGCGTCTTGAGGATGGGGTAGCGCTTCCTCTTTTGGAGTCAAACATCATTTGGGCAAGTGGGGAGCCCGCTGAGCGAGGGGTGGTTTGTTATCTGAACAGGATTAGGGGACACGTGGGAGACGGCAGACCCCACCTGGCAATGGTCCCGCAGATGAGAGTGCTGCCTGTCCATTGTGTCAGTATAAAGTGTGGCACCAGGTCACCATCCCTTTGGAGCAGGTCATGTCTTTGCCCTTGACCATGAATGCATTTTCCCCTTTCTCTGCCCTTCCTGAGACAGAGGGGCTCCACTGTTGAGGTTTTCTAAATAAAGCAAAGTCTCTTCAGAGGAGGGTGCGGGCAGCTCACAGAGTAACGTCGAATTACTCCTTACATTTATCTGGGGTAAAAACTGACGCAGAGGACTTGATTGAAGACATCTCTTAAGATTTCCCTAAAATGAAAGTGAAACGGTCCTAGAAGCATCAACACTATAAAGACCAAAAGGAAGGATGAGGAAACAATAGCAGATTTGAGGGCAGCTTTCGGGAAGTTTGAGTGGGAACTGACTTAGCAGAGTTTCTGGGACTCAGGCACTGGATGGATACCTGTGAAAGCGGGGAGCGGGGTGTGGCTAAAGGGCAAGCGGGCTGGCAAACAGCATGTGTGAAGAGCAACTAGGCTTCAGAGCCTGCCCACCATCCCAACGTGCCTGCAAACTACAGCAAACCCGGTCTCATTCATTCACACAGGAGTGGAAGAGCAGCGGGGAGATTGGGTTCCGCAGCTCCGCGCCGTCTGGGCCAGCATCTGCAAGTCTCCTGGCCTGCCCTTCGTGGCTGTGCAATGGCCTCCACGACTCCAAGTGCCAAGCTGCCTTCAAGGCAGGAAAATGGGGGAAAGGGAAGAAGCTGACCCAGTGGCTCCTGTGATGCTGTCTCAGAAACCACCCTGTCCCCTGATCAGCTTTGCTCAGGACTCATGGCCACTATCGAGTCGTGTACCAGGGGCTGTGCCCAGGGAGAACTGAGAGAGGAGTGCTGGAGACAGGTGGGCTCTACAGTGGGGGGTTAGGTGGGTGCCCAGGATCGGGGATCTTTTCTCTTGGCCTAGTCATTTTCTCCACGTGGTATGCCCTAATCCCTTGCCAGAATTCTGGTGCCTAGCAGAGGTGTGGGAGACGGGCCTCACTTGATCCCTTTACCCTTTGTAAGAGTCCTCCTTCCTGCTTCCATTGGGCCAGATGTCCCTTCCCAGAGCCAGACGCAGGCAGCTGGACCAGGGACAGCTGGCTGGGAGAGGCATCTCTGGATCCTCTTGCCTTCCCCCGGCCTCCTGTTGCCAGCTCCATCCCGCACCTCTGCCATCTAAGATGCCTTGTCCTGAGTGTTGATGGGTTCTGAGCCCCAAATCAGCTTGCATCTTTGCCTGTCCCCACTTCAGACATTAGCAGAGGGAAGAAAAAGGACACTCCAGCCAGACAGTATGTGTCATTCATGCACCATATTCAGTCCTACCCACCATCCATCTCTAGGGAAGTGCGTAAAGAAAGATCTATGGGTTCATAACCAGGAACACCCTATAGCCATCAGAAGCGGGGCACTAGCTACCTATACCCCAACTGGCGCAGAGCTCAAAAAGCAGAGTGTTGAGGAAGAAACAGAAGAGAGTGAAGGTCAGAGCCAGGCCCATCCCTACTAATGATAAGCACATACGCACAGTGGCCAATAAATCATGAGAAAGTGCTCAATTTCATTAGTCATCAAGGAAATGCCAATTAAAACCACAATGTGAAACCTCTGCACACCCACTCAGGTGGCTAAAATGAAAAAGATAAAAATATCAAGTGCTGGAGGATGCAGATGAGCCAGAATTTTCATACGTTCACTGTTGGTGGGATGTCTATTGTACAAAGTGGTAGAACCACTATGGAAAACGGGTGGGCAGTGTCTTCTAAAGTAAACCCCTTCCTTCCCATGACGCAGCAATTCCATTCCCAATATGTACCTGGCAGGAATGCACATATGCACTCGCCGATTCTCATGTACTAGAATGTTCACAGCAGGCCAAAGGAGACATTACCAGACCCCATCAACTGTAGAATGGGTAAGTCAGTTGTGCCATATTCCTCCAGTGGAAATTCTATAGAGATGAGAACTAGCTCTGCCGACAAGCAGATGGACACATCTCACAAACCTGAAGCTGATCAAAAGCAGCCAGACACGTGTCCCTACTCTGTGATTCCATTTAAATTTCAAAACCAGGGCAAAACCAGTAGGGGCCTGGATGTCACTAGGGTGTTAGGCCTGGGGGAGAGGTGGTAGAGACCGGTAGAGGGCAGGACAGGATTGCTGGGGGCTGGTGGTTTCCTCTCTTGATCTGTGAGCTGGATTTACAAATTGTTCAGTTTGTAACAATCCTCCAGCTGAATTCTGAGTGTTTGGGCACTTTTCCCTAAGTAAGTTATAGTTCAGGAGAAGAAAAACATAAAAGGAAAAATCCGAGGCTGTAAAAACAGATTACCTATTTTACTAAGCCGTGTACATATTTAAGG